AATCTAAATTTAGAAGTTTAAAGAAAAAAATATTTTTTTAAAAATAATAGCTCCGCGGTATACCGCAAGAAAAATCTTCCTCCTAAACTGAGGCAAGAAGAAAAAGAAAGCCAAATGTCGTTTTAGTGTATATATATAGATATACCATTTAAACCTAAAACACAATTAATATACTCAAAACTATTAATATAGATATATGAATGGTACATTTATAAAATAGTTGAAATATTATATTATACTCTCTATTAATAAACAAAACTAATTATATTTAGATTTTTTAAAAAAAAAAATTATAGCCCCGCGGTGTACCGCGGGTTCAAATCTAGTTAGTTTCAATTTTGGATCAGATCTTCTAGTTAAAAAAAAAAAGAAAATTTTACCAAAATTAATGAGTTCATAAATACACTAATTTGACTATGAGAAAATATTCACGCAATTAATTTTGTATTTTTCTACCCAAGTACATACTTACATTTCATTAAAAAGGATTAGTTCATTTTTCTTGTTTCTCGGTTTTCAATAAAAATGTAAAAATCATGGTTAATTACTTTATGAACTTGAAAGAAAATAAAAAGAACTATATAAAAAAAGATCTAATTAAAAAAAAAATAGAAAGATCTTATCTTACTGTGGAAACTGGAAAGTAGAAAGGCCATAAACGAAATTAACGTCTGATCATCCATAAAAAAAAAAGAATAAAGAAGATTAAGAATAAACATCCAAAACCAAAAATAATTAATTAAAATTAAACATATAGTTTAGGGCAAAATCGAAGCTTTTAACATTGATGTAATCAAACCTCTGAAAAAGCAAAAAAATAAATAATAAAAAAATCGATATACTATTACTAAGAAACTTAAAGAGCTCTCTCTCTCTCTCTCTCTCATAAACAAAAAAAAAAAAGTTTCTCAGGAAACCCCAAATCCACAAATCCCACTTGCAATTTCTCCCCACATCTCCCCATAGCTCTCTCTCTCTCTCTCTCTCTCTCTCTCTCTCGTCTTCTACGGCTGTGAAGCAAATAAAGCAAAAATTCCAAAATCCTTTCCTCCGATTTGTTCCAAAAATCTCTGAAAGTTTTCAACTTTGGGTCAGTTTGGAGAAGAACACACAAATCTCTTGAATGCAATGTGAAAAAGGAACAGTTTTTTCCGACGAGAATGGTGGCTGCAGCGATTTCAACCACTGACCCAAGAAACCCACCTCGAGATCGACAAGATAAACCTCAATCCTTAACCAACAATGGCGGACAAAGAAGACCCAGAGGCAAACAAGTTCCTTCTCGCTACTTATCTCCTTCTCCTTCTCACTCTGTCTCTTCCAACACCACTACCACTACCACCACTACCACATCTTCTTCCTCCTCTTCTTCTTCCTCTGCGATACTCAGAACTAGTAAACGATACCCATCTCCTTCGCCTTTACTCTCTCGCTCCACGACCAATTCCGCTTCTAATTCTATCAAAACGCCTTCTTTGTTACCTAAACGGTCCCAATCAGTGGACCGTCGTCGACCCTCGGCGGTTCCGGTCACTGTAGGCAGTGAAATGTCGGCGGCTACGAAGATGCTTATCACTTCCACTAGGAGTTTGTCTGTTTCGTTTCAAGGTGAAGCCTTTTCTCTTCCGATTAGTAAAAAGAAAGAGGCTACTACTACGCCGGTTTCTCACCGGAAATCTACTCCGGAGCGACGGAGATCGACGCCGGTTCGAGATCAGAGAGAGAACTCTAAGCCTGTTGACCAGCAACGGTGGCCTGGAGCTTCTCGGAGGGGGAATTCTGAATCTGTTGTGCCGAATTCGCTTTCTAGAAGCTTAGATTGTGGTAGTGATAGAGGAAAGCTTGGATCTGGGTTTGTTGGGAGGTCAATGTTGCATAATTCTATGATTGATGAGAGTCCTAGGGTTTCTATTAATGGGAGATTGAGTTTAGATTTGGGAGGTAGGGATGAATATTTGGAAATTGGAGATGAGAGCCAGAGAAGACCAAATAATGGTTTGACGTCTAGTGTTTCCTGTGACTTCACTGCTTCTGATACTGATAGTGTTTCTTCTGGTAGCACTAATGGTGTCCAGGAATGTGGCTCTGGTGTTAATGGGGAAATCTCTAAATCAAAGAGCTTGCCTCGTAATATTATGGCTTCTGCTAGGTTCTGGCAAGAGACTAATAGCCGGTTAAGGCGGTTGCAGGATCCAGGTTCGCCTTTATCCTCTAGCCCGGGTTTGAAAACCAGTAGTGTATCTTCAAAGTTTGGTCTTTCGAAACGGTTTTCTAGCGATGCTGTTCCTTTGTCATCTCCTCGTGGTATGGCTTCTCCTGTAAGAGGTTCTGCTATTCGCTCTGCTTCACCAAGTAAGCTTTGGGCGACAACTACGTCATCTCCAGCTAGAGCACTTTCAAGTCCTTCTCGAGTGAGAAATGGAGTTTCTGATCAAATGAACGCTTATAACCGCAACAATACGCCTTCAATTCTTAGTTTCTCTGCTGATATTAGGAGAGGTAAAATTGGGGAAGATCGTGTTATGGATGCACATTTGTTGAGGCTTCTATATAACCGTTACCTGCAGTGGCGGTTTGTCAATGCGAGGGCAGACTCTACTGTTATGGTGCAAAGATTGAACGCAGAGGTATGGCTTAATTATGAGTTTTTTTATTCCCTTTTGTGTCCACTCTGGGCTGTAAATACTTTTAGCCACTGCAGCAGATTTAGAAAAGCTATGATTTGTTCATCTATATTTAGGATCTTGATGGAATAAGTGAGCACTTATGGAAACTTATCATTTAGGCTCCTAGGTGCCACTTATCTCAGATTTATCATGACAATTTGGAGATTAAGCTTGAGTTTGTTAATCTTACTGAACTAATACAGTGAAAGAGTAGTCAATTTTTCTGCATAGAAAAAAAGATTGAGAGTATAGTTAGTATAAATCTTTCAAGAACCTGTTTTAAGTATAACTAAATCTTCACTTCTAGCGATTTCTGGCGTAACATAAAATGTAAATTTACTCTCTTGATTTTTCTCTTTGCCAGAAAAACCTGTGGAATGCATGGGTATCAATCTCGGAACTGCGGCACAGTGTCACTTTAAAACGAATCAAGTTGCTTTTGCTAAGGCAGAAATTGAAACTGGCTTCTATACTAAGGGGACAGGTAAGAATGTGATATCTTTTAAGTTTTTACGATTTCTTACTTTAACAGGGCCAGTGTCCCAATTAAGACGTTTTCTTTTTCTTCTACTTTTGAGGAATAAGACAGATATTCTATGGAATTTGGCTTAGTGATTCCTTCTTGCCGTAATAAGAAAAGAATGTTTTGGATATAATTCAATTATTGTACAATGGTAATTGTCCCGTAACGTATTTAGCAAATGAACTAATTAATTATTTGTGTATGGTAGGTAGATTTTCTATATCTACCACTAGAAGTTGGTATGCTTACTTGCTTAGAATCTCATATTACTTGCATAAGATATATGAGATTTTATTTATCTCGAAATGATAATTGTAGTAATAGTACATATCTACAGGAGAGGCATATAAGAAAAGAATAAAGAGAGTATGAATTTTTTTTTTTTTTTGTATTAGAAAATACTAAACTTGCTCGCTGTATTTATTAAATTGTAGATGGGTTTTCTAGAAGAATGGTCTCTTCTGGATAGAGATCATTCAAGTTCTTTGTCAGGAGCAACCGAATCCTTGAAAGCCAGTACGCTTCGTCTACCAATAGTTGGAAAAACCGTGGTAAGTACCATTATGATATAAACCCTGATATGATTGTTTTGGCTTAATCTAGACACCTTAGGTTATTACACTTTTAATATGCTTCTCGGATTATTTAGGTTGATATCCAAGACCTCAAGCATGCTGTTAGTTCAGCCGTCGATGTAATGCAAGCTATGTCATCTTCCATATTCTCACTGACGTTGAAGGTAAAAAATTATCTTGTCTCTCTCAGATTTTTCGAAGTTCTGTTGAGTCTATTGAACCTTTTGGGTCTGAAATGTTATCTTTCTTGAGTTATTCTATACACAACCCTTATTTTTAGCGGTTACTTTAAGCTCATTTATACCTTCTAGGTGGATGAGATGAATTCTGTAATGGTCGAAACCGTGAATGTAACTGCTAAGGAAAAGGTTTTGCTTGAAAGATGTCAAGGTTGCTTATCAAGAGTAGCAGCTATGCAGGTAAAGGGTCTTCATCTTCATTTATCTTCTTGTTTTCCGGGTTTAGATTACCTGGCAATGTCTCTATTCTTTTCTGATATCGCTTTGGGGTGAACACAACAAACCAGGTTACTGATTGTAGCATGAAAACGCACATAATACAACTAAGTCGGATACCAATCACAAGCAGCTTGACTTCACAACTGTAGAAAAACTGATCTTCCTCAAGAGAACAGATTTGTTCTTTTTGACTACAATACTCACCAAGAACAGAGTTGCTAACACGGGCCTTTTCCTTCCACGAATCCGACCTTATCGTTTTCAAACCAAGATCAAGGTTAGATTCGCGGATTATCATCTCTCTCTCTCTCTCTCTCTCTCTCTCTCTCTCTCTCTCTCTCTCTCTCGCTCTCTCTCTCTCTCGCTCTCTCTCTCTTTTGCTCTTGTAGTTCTACGCTTGTTTTATATAAAGATTGCAGGTAATTCCTCTAAAGTAAGTAAGCTTAGTTTTGTATACGTAAGTTTTTCTAATGGTTCTTTGGCTTGTGTACATATAAAGATGTAGTAATGTATGATCTGATGAACCACTGATTTTGATTTTTCTAGTTCTAGACTTGTTGCCGTTTTTTCATATTAAGATGTCTTGTCGTTTCTAGTTGCCTTGAAGGAGTCTGTCAACACCTAAAAAGAAGTACAAGTCAAAGAGGACACTCTCACTTCAATGTTAATCGTTCCTTTTGCTTTTGTGGAACCTCCAAAAGCTCTATAATACTTGTATAAAAAAGGCCAAAACTGTCCCACATCAGGGAATGAGGTCACATCAACATAGATAGATGTCATCAAGTAAACCTAATCTAGTATTGACATCTATCTATGTGAGAGAATTCAATAACATAACTTATGTTACATAAGTGTGTTAATAAGTTTACATAAAGTTAAAAAAATGAAAACCCTTTATCCTGTTAGTATTGGTAATTCCTCTTTCTTGTTGAAGCTTGTTTGCTAACAATGCACTTTCAACCTCCACTATGTCTTTGTCCCCGGGTTCATTAAACTCTGGCGATGGCACTGTATTAATATCTATCAATCCCTTTAGGCTCTGCTTTGGGTCAGATACATGTGTTACAACACTCCCATTACCACTAGGACTCGACTTGTCTCCTTGGGAACCAGCCTCCTCGTCCTGGCTGCGTTTGTGACCGCTGAGAACACCTTCGTAATGAAGGCGTTTGTGTCCCCCGAGGGATTGTCCCGTTGGAAACAATCTATGACAAATAGAACACTTGTGGATTTTCCCAGATGGAGCTAACCTCTTTGGCCGTGTTTTTTCTCCAGTTGCGTTTTCAACAGGCGGCTTAACCCTGTGGCCAGCCTTGTGACCACCTAAAGCTTGATATGAAGGAAACTCTTTTCCACAGACGCTGCACTTAAAGGGATCAGACTTAGGCAGCATCTGTGGTTGAGGTTGGGTGTGCGTTTGCGATTGCCGTTTGTGACAGAGAGCAGCAGTTTCATCCTCAGAGAGAGAAGAAGAAGAAGAAACTTCATCATCACCAAAACGCTGTTGATTTGGTGCTACACTAACCAACCAAGGCCTAATAACGGCTCTGTATTCTTCTTCTTGCCGGATCGATTCTAAACCTGTGTGTGTAAAGGAAGAATCATCATCATCATCATGAGATGAAGAAGAACGATTTGGCTTTGTTTTTGATCGTTCAATACCATCCAACAAAAGCTCAAGGAAAACGTCGTCGTTTGAAAACCGGGCTTCTTCTTTCTCTTCTTCTTGCCGGTTCGATTCCGAGAAAGAATCTTCATCGTCACCAAAACACTCTTCTACTTGTAAGAAGCTGTGTTCCGCGAAAGAATCTTCGTCGTCACCCAAACCTTGTCGTTGTGACAGTTCCCTGCGTTTCAACCAGGGCTCAATCAAAACGGCGTCGTCTTCTTCTCGCCGGATCGATTCTAGGACTCTTTGATCCGAAGAAGGATCTTTATCATTACCAAAACGCTCTGGTATTGACTGTTGTTCACAACTCTCCAACCCAATCTCAACACACTCATCGTCTTCTTCTCCTTCTTCTTCTAGCCCGATCGGTTCTATCACTTTTAAACGTTGATTCGCCTTCGTTAAAAGTTGTTCCAACTGTGTTGTAAGAGCCATTACTATCACTATCAGAGACCCTTTTCTTTTGCTTGTTTCTTACGAAAGAAACTTGGGAGAGTAATGTTACGTACAAACGACAGTTGAATTGTTATTATGTATAGATTCCAGACTTTGTAGGGTTTACTCATATTTATATTAGTTTAAAGTCGGTTAAGTTCTCTTTATCGATCTCTTATAGTATTATCAGAATCTTTTAAGATAAAGCAAGATTTCCATTCTTTAGCTATATTCCTAAACCAAATAAAAAGTATATTCCTAAACCAAGCAAAATAAGCCTTTATCACAGAAAAACAAAAGGGAAGCCAAATAAATATTCAAAATTTAAGGAAATGGAAAAGGTCCAGATTTTCGGAAGTCGGAACTGACCTTTTTTTGAAGTACAAACAAACTTTGTTTCTATTGCTTTTTGGCCTAACATAAAATTGTATATTATTTTTTTTTTTGTCATCCGTAATTAAATAGTGCTCAAAAGAGCCATTCTTGTGGAATGTTGTTTACATAAGTGATATGAAGCGGTTTCGTACGAATTTTTCGTGCCAGATTATCCGCTTTTACATTTGCACAACGAGAAATTAAAGATAAAGAGAAGGTAGAGAACTCTTCCTTGTCGCTCTGAAATTCCTCCAGATACACTGAGAAGGCCGGCCATTCGGTTGGGGAAGACACCATCTTCACCAGATCAGAACAGTCTGTAAGGAATGCTACCTCTTGATTATCTGCACCAATCATACACTTCATCGCCCAAAGGAGGGCCTCGAATTCGGCATGTAGCGGAGATAGGCTTCTACGGAGGTTGGCAGCTCCCATTGTTGATGGCTCACCGTTTGATGGTGTACAAAACCACCATATCCCGGAAAACTTGTCGCTGTCTTTCCAGGATCCATCCACAAAACAACGGTATCATGTAAAATCCGAATCTAGGGACACCCCCCACGTTTGAGGCTGATTTGGAAATTCCACTGAAGCCTGAGTTTCAGTATGAAGCTCCACTTGAGCTGAGTGCCACAATCGTGCCTCTCTTTCCGCTAAATAAAATTGTATATTAGTTACTCTGTTTTTAAGTATTATTAACTCTTTGCTTAAATCTCTATGTTATGTAATGTAATCCTTTACAAATCTTAAAGTTTAACATTACACCAGTGAGTATTAACTCTTTTTAAGGTTTAACGATTAATTTTTCTTACTCTAAAGAGGGCCAATGCCCCAACAAAGTTTATGTTTTTTTGTTCTCGTGGATGTAGCAAACGCACACACAATCTTTGGTTGGTAAGACACGTTAATATATATTCGTTTGATAACCATAATAACTGGATGGTTAAATATTAACATAAAAAATCAAAATCAAAATCAAAATCACCAAGTAATACCCTTAATGCAATTAGTATTGAAAAAATCAAAAATCGTTTTTCTAGTCAAGGCTTGTTTGCTAATATCATTGCACTTTCAACTTCCTCCACGTCTCCGCCTCCAGATTCATCAAACTCCGGTGACGGCAGGTTATTAAGATCTATCAATCTCCTTAGGCTCTGCTCTGGATCCGACACATTTGTTACAATACTCCCATTACTACTAGGACTACACTTGTCTTCCTCACGAACAACCTGGTCCTGACTGCCTTTGTCACTGACGAGAACTCCGTCACTTTCACTTAGGCTCAGCTTTAGATCCAACACATTGTGACCGCTGAGAACGTTGTCACTTACCATTAAACTCTGTCCTGGATCTAACACTTTTGTTACAATGCTCCCATTTTTATTGGGACTTAACTTGAGAACAACCTCGGCATTACCGTGTTTGTGACCGCCGAGAACGCCTTCGTAGTGACGGCGTTTGTGTCCACCAAGTGCTTGTCCCGTGGCAAACACAACATGACATATATCACACTTGTGGATTTTCCCAGACGGAGACAACATCTTTGACCGCGTTTTCTCTCCAGCGTCTGCGTCTGCGTTTTCAAGAAGCGGTTGTGGCTGCTTAACCCTGTGGCTGGCCTTGTGACCACCTAATGCTTGATACGAAGTAAACCCTTTTCCACAGACACTACACTCGAACAAATCAAACTTCGGCGGCGCCTGCGGTTGAGTTGTTTGAGTTTGCGGTTGCGGTTGAGATTGTGTTTGCGTTTGGCGTTTATCACAGGAAAACTGGATGAGAGTGAGAGCAGCGATATCATCTTCAGACGGAGAAGAAGAATTAGAGGAAGGATCTTCATCATCACCCAAACGCTGTCGTTTTAGTCGTAAATTATCCAACCAAGGCTTGTAGAAAACGGCATCGTTTGCAATCTCGTCATCGTCTGAGATTTTGTGTTTCACCGTCTGAGAAGGAGCTTCATCACTAGTAGAACGCTGTCGTATTGACAATTCACTACTTTTCAACCTAGGAGGCTCAACAAAAACGACGTCGTCTTCTTTCTCTCGCAGATATTCTAAGCATCTGCGTTTCGAAGAAGGATCTTCATCATCATGAAGAGAAAACTTTCGTTTTGATCGTTCGTAACATCTCAACTCGTCTCGCCTGAGTTGCATAAATTTGTGTTTCGGAACGGTAAGTTTTGTCATCGGCGAAAATTGATTCAGTGTCTTGAGATCCATACTTCTCCGATTATGTTTCAGACTTTTTTTCTTAATCCTTAAGAAACTTGGAGCGATTAACGAAAAAAAGTTGTGTTGGTGTTTCGTGACTGTCGTATTCTCTCAGACTCTCATATTTATATTAGTTTTAGTTTAGTCGGTAACACTGTTAGGTTTCGGATAAACAATTGAATATAGGAAACAGAGTAAAAAAAAGGAAAATAGAATCTCGGGAGATTCTACGTTAACTCAATCTCTATTTTAAGTGCAAAAATTCCAGTATTTTTTAAAAAAGTAAAATTTTGAAAATTTCCATATAGTGAAAAATGTGAAAAAAAACGACACTTCAAAAAAAGGTTAACCCTAAAAAAATACAATTAGGTTAAAAGCTGCTATTCAATGTCAATAAAACCTTTTTTTTTTCCTGAGCTATGTGTGAGTTACAAGCCGTGCGGGACACGCATTAAATCAAACGCGTACACGTCTGATTGGTTTACTTTTTATCTTGATAAGTATCATATTTTTCCTCAATCATTAATAAAATATCTATACTTTTCTCAATCACTATAATATCATTTCCTGAGTGGGGAAAAAATCTTAAATAATCATTAATTGATAAACTTCAATTATATAATGGAAACGAATTTTAAGGAATTAAATTTTCTTAAAAGACATTAAAAAAAATATTATATATTACTAGTATTTGTTAAAGAAAATCCTTGGAAACATGGCCAATTCGCGACCATTCGTTCGGAGATATCTTTTACCAATAGCAAGTAGTGTACCTGATACGAAAAAAAATGGACCAGATTTTACTAAACCGACGTGTTTATGTAGACGTGATGTGGCCCTGATTAGGCTTATTCGGTCACATGTCATTAGGTCAGATCAAACACATAATCCAAGATATAACACTTTTTAGACGCTCTTTGATTTTTTTTGACAACTTGCAAAGTATTTTTTTATTTTTTAAATACGGTCCATCGAGGATAAATACAATTCGCTTTGTTTGTTATTTGAAACAACTTCCTACATAGTGGCAGGAGAAGCTTTGGGAAAGGGTGAAACTCTCAAACCTAAGTTTGATTCTCCCTGGAAACAAAAACACATTTGTTTGGGAAGTCTGTCAGTTGGGCCTTGGCCCAATTGGTTTACCTGGTAGCCAGAAATGCAGACGACCTGACTACCCCTGGCACTTAGTCGGAAGGCATTCCAAACTCGGGATAGGCAGAGTGGTAGCCCATAAGGGCCTAACCGTTAACACGGTGGACTAGTCCACTATGTAGTACCTCGGTGCATTCCTACCGGGGCCGACCGGATAGCCGATAGAGTTTATAAAAAAAAAAAAAAACAACTTCCTACATCATTATTTAAATTAAATATGTTTTATTTTAAAAGTTACATAAACGAAATTGATATTTATCGATTAGACGACCAACGTAGTAGCCTATTTTAAAGCCCCTTATGGTAAGTAAGTGCAATACGTGGGCCGAATTCACGGCCCATTTTGCGTAATAGGTTTCCTTGTCAGGGGACAGAATTTGAAAATCAAACACATTTTTTTTTTTTTTAAAATCTACTTCCCTCTTTCTCTTAGCATAAACCCTAAAATTCGTATTTTTCAGGATGACTCTGTTGCCGGCGATTGGTCGCGAGCTCTCGAATCCGCCGTCCGATGGGATTTCTAATCTCCGATTTTCCAATAGCAGCGATCATTTAATAGTCTCTTCATGGGACAAGGTTAGAAATCCCCAATCTTGTCTCAAAAACATTGATTTCATTGCTTGTTTGAAGTTTGATTTATCTAATCTGATGCTTTGATTTATGTGAATTGGATCGAAGAGTGTAAGATTGTATGATGCGAACGCCGATTTGATGAGAGGGGAGTTCAAGCATGGAGGAGCGGTACTCGATTGCTGCTTCCATGATGATTCTTCTGGATTCAGTGTTTGCGCCGATACTAAAGTCAGACGGTATAGTTAATTTGTTCTCTCTTCTAATTTTATCTGGTTCGATTCAAAATTTTAGTTGAGATATAGTGAAACTGGTCATGTAGGAGTGTACACTCGTGTTTATGAAATGGTTTGTGGATTCTAAATAATTGGGGTTCTCTTGTTATACTTCAGAATTGACTTCAATGCTGGCAAAGAGGACGTTTTGGGGACGCATGATAAACCAGTTCGATGTGTTGAGTATTCTTATGCTGCAGGTTGGTGGTATATGATGTTCTTGATGCTTAATTGAGCTCTTACCTTGTTCATACTTAGTGCTTAATTTAACATTGATGAACTATGTTACTAATAGCTTTATTTAGTGCATTCGTGTTTGTAGTCATACCATGGTTTTGCTTGAACACTTTGTAACGTTATAGGGCAAGTGATCACTGGAAGTTGGGATAAAACTATTAAATGTTGGGATCCAAGAGGTGCAAGTGGGCTGGAGCGTACACAGATTGGTACATATCAGCAACCTGAGCGTGTTAACTCTCTTTCTGTAGTTGGAAATCGTTTGGTGGTGGCAACAGCAGGAAGGCATGTCAACATTTATGATCTCAGAAATATGTCTCAGCCTGAGCAAAGAAGAGAGTCCTCACTTAAATACCAGACTAGATGTGTGCGTTGTTATCCCAACGGGACAGGTTAAATGGCTGATATGTTGCTTTCAGTAGTTTTCATTTTCCAACAGTCAAAGTTGCTTTCTTCCTGTTCCAAGTATACTCAGGAGCCTCAATTTCCTCTTCCACACTTTTGATTTTGATAATACTTTGCAGGATATGCCCTTAGCTCTGTTGAAGGGAGGGTGTCAATGGAGTTCTTTGATCTATCAGAAGCTGCTCAAGCTAAAAAGTATGTTCCTAATGTGTTTTCTCTTACCTCTTTTTGACCAAGTCTATGACGTTTTGTTTAATCTTGCTGAGCATTTTTTCTGGTAAGATATCCCTTTTACTTTTTATTAATCTGATATCTATATTTGAACTTCTTTTCAGATATGCTTTTAAATGTCACCGGAAATCAGAGGATGGAAGGGACATTGTCTACCCTGTAAATGCAATTGCTTTCCATCCGATGTAAGTCTTATCTTAAAGAAACCTGATTGTTTCCTTTCAGTTACTTGATTGCTTCAAGACTTAAACTAATTTTTTCAATGGCCAAGATGGAAAATCTAGGGGAGAATATATGAATTTTGAGGGCTAGTTCAGAGTATTGTGAATGCTATCATTTCATTTGAAAACAAATTCTGTAAATGTATGTTCTGGGATCCACTGTATATATGGAACCTAAGGGCAAAATTTGAAACTTTAAGTTATCTGTATATATGGAACCTAAGGACCAACGCTATCACTTCGAATAACCTGAAGTTTTTTTAAATTGTAGTTATGGCACTTTTGCTTCCGGAGGTTGTGATGGTTTCGTCAACATTTGGGATGGTAACAACAAGAAGAGGCTATATCAGGTATAGGAAAGATGAGAGCTTTTGATATTTTTTTTTTCAATGTTCTAATGTTCTTTGAGACGCAGCATTAAATTGCTCCTTCTTGTTTGTAGTACTCTAAGTATCCAACAAGTATTGCGGCGCTGTCATTCAGCCGAGATGGTGGATTACTGGCTGTTGCTTCTAGTTACACGTTTGAAGAGGGAGACAAACCGTAAGAATCTCAGTCTTTAATCTTTCAGTTCTTAACTCTTTGATGGAATTATAGTTTGAGTTTGATGCTATTAGATTTTATCAGGCATATAGAAACATTTAACCTGTGGACATTGAGACTTACAGATAGCATTCTAGAAATGTTATTGTGTTTGCTTTTGGATTGATCTCTCTTTAACTGATACTGAGTTTTGTGTCTTTGCAGGCATGAACCAGACGCCATCTTTGTTCGAAGTGTTAATGAAATCGAAGTGAAACCAAAACCCAAAGTATACCCCAATCCTCCGATATAGACTAGTCAGTAATAATGGAATGAGCAGAGTTAAATTCGACTTGTGTGTTGTATTGTTGCTACAGTGGCTGCCCAAAAAAGATTGTAGGACTTTGAAGTGAGTTTTAAAATCTTATTTTGGCTGTAAAGTGAATTGTGAACATTACAAAGGCTTTCGAATCTGAGATTGTGTTCCTTTGGTTTTGAGTAAAGTCCATTTACTCTCTGGTTTGCCTCCAATTTTTTTTTTATTTTTGGGTACCAACTCTTTTCTTTGTACCTTTTTTTTTGGGTTTGTGTGTTGGTTTAGAAGCTAGAACTTAGAACCAAGTTATAATTTGTTATGGACCATAGAGCAAAACATAGATGGCCTTGGAAAAGATTCTCTAATATGTGTAATTGTGTATGTACATGGCAATTCCGAAAACTTAACTGAAAATATAAAAGATGGACTTGAAAAAGATTCTCTGGTTTAATCCCAAGTCTGGTTCGACCCAAAATCTTTCCAACTAGAAGGAAGCAAACCAAAACTTCAAAAGGCTGTTTAAAAGTGGGCATGAATGAATCCTACTGATCGTATCTTAATATCTCATTATGCAACAAGCAACATTACCACTCATCTTCCTCGTCATCATCAACATCATCATCTTCCTCGTCCTCATCATCATCATCTTCCTCGTCATTATCATCATCATCACCATTTTCTTCTTCTTCGTCTTCTTCCAGATTCAGATGATCATCCTCGATCTCTTTCCCTTTTCCTTTTACAAGATAACACAAACATGAAGTCAGAAAAATAAGAGACAACAATATACAATATATATCTCCGGAGCTTACCTGATACTTTAGGTGGAGGCAGCTCAATGACCGGAGGAAGCAATGTTGGAACTCCACAAGCTTCCGGCCAAGCTGATAACTCCGGAACAGGAGAAAATGTAGCTGCATACGTTTTGTGATACCGTTCAAGAGTGTAACAGTCATCTACATACTGCAACGGGTTTATTTTCAGCTTATCGCAGACTGCTAGAGCGTGCAGACATAGGAGCTTGTTCCTTTGAAACTTTCCACAAGTGCAAGTTGACTCATTCAACTGAACAATCCCGCGGGTTGAGACATCCACCACACCCATATATCGTTTCTTCTTTTTCGAGGTCGTTGAGACCTCAAATGCATCTTTTTCCAACGGTGTTACAACGCAAGTAACGGAATCTTTAGTGAACTCTTCAAGCTTCTCCATGACATGTTCTGTGTACACATTGCCGCGATTAAGAGAACCACGGCTACGGCTAAAAGATTCATTAAAAGCGTCTCTCAGCTCACCAAACATAAGCATCACACCCCCTGCCATTGCAACTTTGGGAAATCTTTTATAATGAGCAAAGAGAGCTTTGGTACGTATCTTCATGATTCCGTATCTCCGACCATCATCATGAGCCAGAGCCCACTGATGTGGAGGAAATTGGTCTAACCATTTCCAACCTTCTGGATTCTTCTCTTTAATCTCCTTCATGTAAGAATCAAATTCTTCCTTCTGACTTGACGGACCAGCCTTCTCCACAAGATACTCCATGTTGTGGTCGAAGCCTGGAGAAACGCTACCGAATTTGGAGCACAGATGATCGAGGCAGAACCTGTGATAAGCCCAGGGTTCTTTCCACTGAGACCCTGGTTCGTTAATAACAGCGAGTATGTCAGGGTCGGGACTGGAGATGAGGCAAATGCCTTGCCTCTGTGTTACCTTCTCTCTGATTCTAGTGAGAAACCAGCGCCAAATATCGACGGATACTTCTTTAGTAACCGCAAAGGCAAGCGGAAAATATTCATTGACTGCATCAAATGCCGAGGCAATCATCAACTTCATTTTGTATTTACCTCCCAAGTTTTTGGTGTCGACAACTATCAGAGGTCTACAATGTTGAAACCCTTGGATAGACTGAGAAAATGCCCAAAACACACCCCGAAAGTAGGCGTGTTCAGGATTAGGCAAAGAATCATATTGCCAGTCCACGAGAAGGCCATTAGAAGAGTGAAGCACAGACATTAACTTGGGTATGAATCTGAAACTCTGATCCCAATCTCCAAAGACTTTTTTGATAGCTTTCACTTTCGCATTCTCCAAAACTCCATGTGCATCATTATCCACCTCCTCAAATGCATCAAGGGCATAGCCAAATTTTTCTTTCCACCACTTATCCAACTCCGCAGTTGAGAGCATGGGCTGTACCCTGACCACACGTTCAATCTCAAATGCTACACGCTCGGCATCAAAATCATTTAGTGAAGGAGATTCAGGGTGACAAGTATGTGAACCACTACACTTGGTTATCTCAAAAAGACCGTCTTCTTCTCTCCTAGCTGCACAAATTGACCACTTGCATTGCCATCTTCCACATTCAAACACATACATGTCCTTGTCCGTCTCTCTTACTAAATATTTTTTCTGCCTTTTAATAGACCACCAGTCCACTGCCTTCTTCAGTTCCTCTATATCTTTAAAAAACAATCCCACACGCATTGTATCATCGTCAAGCCACAAACCAGACACAAGACGCGGTGTTGATCCTGAACCTGAATTTGTATCCCCCACCTCTTGTTGTTGTGTGCTCTTCTGTCTTTTCTGGGGATTAATTCCCATTGGAGCAGGAGGAGGAGGATCATTAGAAGTTGGTTTAGCTTCCAAGTAAAATTCGACAGTGTTAATACAAGGGTGATTGCTTGGAACCTCAAGCATTTTCTCCAAACTAGCGTCGCTCATCACAGGGTGAAGTAGATACCGAAACTTATTGGGTGATTGAACAACAGGGTACCTAGCGACTATTTCAAGCTTTGATTTTTGCTTATCAAATCCAGTAATTAGATAAAGCTCGTCAAGAAATCTGCCAAAGTCAGTCTTTTTCTTGACTCTCATCTCTTTGGGAGTCGATCCTTCATAGTAGACGCCATCAGGGCCATGCTTGATATGACAATTCCAGTAACACAACACCACCACCTCTCTTTCATCCATTAGCGAGTACAACAAAAAAAACCTACAAGTAAAAAAATACCCTAGAAAGCTACAATAAACAATGAACATCAAAATACAGACTTGTTAAAAAAACTTGCTTTCTACAGAAATGAAATGTACCTTTCGCTAAGGAATTCTTCGGTGATTTGATAACTGCCTTTTCATATGCTTGACCTAGAGCAACTCTCATATATCATCCTAATTTTTCAAAATAATTACAGAGCGGAATTAGTAAAAAAGTAAAGTTGGGCCAAAATTATAAAGCCCATTAATAAGTGTTGTACGAAAATAAAGCCTAGCAACTCACCAGTTGGGCCGTAATGGGAGTATTCATGGTGTACCCTTTCGTTTTTTGGTACAATCTGGATTCGGAAACCTTAAACCTAGTTTCGACTCCGATTTATAGTTCGCTTCCGTCTGGTTTGTGCGCCAATCTCGGGATTACACGCTAGTTTATTGTAGCTAATCTCGGGATAAAGCTACTGATATAGGAAAATATACGGTTGGATTTAACTATACGTGGAGGGCTGAGATTAACAGAGGAAGAGAAACACGTGGAGGGCTGAGATTAACAGAGGAATAGAAGCTGAAGCTTAAAAGGAGAAAATGGTTTAGCTTTAGAAATCAATAAGAAAATTCTGGATTTGTTGTTTATCGTTTCTTTTGGATTCTCTCTGAGAATTGTTCCTCATCGTCGCCGGAGTTTCATCATGAACTCTTGCTGATGAGAAGTGGTGCTGCGTTACTTGCGAACGTTGTATCCATTTATCGTTATCAATAAACTCAATACTTTGTTTCCTTTATCACTGGTATCAGAGCCATTCTTCCTCGGAATCAATGGCAGAAACTAGATCGACAAGCCACCACAAGCTAATCCCTATGAAGTATTCATGGGAGGAGATAAATACACGACGAGAGGCTGGTTTGTGCATATTTTGTGACGAGCAAGAGACTCAGGATCATCACTTGAAGCACAAGAGGCTACGGCTTGTCATGGTGGACCTTGCGTATACTTCATTGGTTGATGTTGAAGATCTTAAGCGAGATAGTGATCTGAAAGCAGAGGAGGATAAAAAAGTGGCAGAAATAGAGGTTAAAACTGAGGTCGAGACAAAATTGACTGCAAATTTGGTACAGGAAGCGTTCTTGGAGGATGAATCAACTCCACAAGTTCAGGTACCAATTGCTAATTCTGAGATTTTGAAGAGTATTGAACCTAGGGAAGTAAACTTAGGATTGGAAAGTCTAGAATCTGTGGTGATGAACGAGAATCTAGAGCAAGATGGGGTTCAAAAGAAAGTTACTAAGAGATTTGAGGTTGATGGTAATGTTGAGAAGACTCAGAAAGTGTTAAGTGTTACGGAAATTTGCTGTGCACACCAAGTGTTCGGTAAAATGTCTCAACATGAAGAAAAGCTGGGAATAAAGAAGGAAGCGAAAGGGTTCAAATCATGGATGTTCAAATTCAAGCCTATTAAGGAAAAAATAAAGAAACGAGACAATAAGGGTTGGTTCCACACTTGGAGCAGAAAACCGAGTTGGAAGAAGAACAAGGTTTCCAAAACTTGGTCCATGCTAAACGTTGATTGTTTCAAGGATGATGATCAAGTGTATCTTGAATCACTTTCCATAGGACTACTTATCAGATTCACGTTCTGGAAATTCAAATTCATTAAGAGGAATTTGCAAAAAACCAGTCCACAAATAGAAGAGGTTATGATGAGAGAAGATCATAAGCAACAACATGGTGATAGTGAGCCTCTAGCGACTGCACCTGATTATGATATAAAGTTCATGAAAATGAATTTGCAGAAAAAAATGGGAGAACATGGATACGTCAACCACGGGAAGCTAATGTTTGATAAAGAAAGACATGATGATATTCTAAGAAGGTACAACTTGCAATGGAAGATACAGAAATTGAAGTGTTGTTCCAAATCTTCGCAATTTGAGTTTCCAAACAAGAACGCGAGTGGATATAACCTTGACAGAGATTTTGTCTTAGAAATGGATCATTGGTATCACTATGTCAATTTGGAGACAGGATCGTTTCTTAAAACTGATTCAATTTCAGAACTTGAATTGGAGTCAACTGAATCAAACATGGAGACAAATAGTGTTGCACAACCTCAGGTATCAATTTTTGTCTTGGAATCTAGCCAACAGCAGAAACTGTTAGAAGATTTTGATATGAATACGGTCAGTAAGGATCAACAATATGTCTTAGCAGAAGCTTTGAGTCCACTCTTTGATAATTTTCGCTCGGAAGTGGCTGCGTTTTGTGAGCAGTCAACATGTGTCAAGTCTCATCAGAGGAAGCAAAGACTATCGCCAAAGTCTTGGATGTTCAAATATAAATTGGGGAAGGAGTGGAAGAGGAGAAGGAACATTTCGTTTCTCTGCTTAATTGTGGTGAGGGCACTTCACGTTGATAGGCTGCAGGAAAGAAAAATGCCATTGTTATTGAAATATAATTGCAGAACTGTTCTTGCAGAGGAGTACAACACTAGGTGCTTAAGTGTGCCTTGGATAAAGCACAAGAGTAAGCAACTACTGAGCATCACAATATCAGTTTCTGGATTTAACAGAGCATCACATTATCAAGTGTATTTGTGCTTGTTCTTGGCCAAAACCCTTGCATCACAATTTCAGTTATGGTATGGTGGTGAGGCGACACGTTATTGTTACAAGCTGCTCCTTCAACTATTCCTACAGGTAAAAAGTACGACGAGGCAACGGGAACAATTCTCTAGTGCCCAAGTCAGATCCGAGTTAAAAGGGAACAGTTTTAAGTATGGGAGAATGCGTGGAGCAAAGGGATTGGCTGAAGAAAGTTGGTTACGGATCAGACTTAGAAGAAGTCCTCATTTGAAGCAGCCCAAAACTTGGAGTTTTAAGTATAAACAACAGAAGAACTATCATGATGTGTTGGTGAAAGAACCAGAAAGAATATCATAGTCCAGCATTAAAGAGCTGCAGAAGTTATGATCTACATAAGAAGTTCATACTACTAAACCTTGAGGACAATGGAGGAAACGACATGGGAGTCCTCTTTGTTCTACATCGACAATTTCCAAACACTGAACCTTGTGGTCAAGGTTCTTCGAACAGGGGAGATTTGATATAGGAAAATATACGGTTGGATTTAACTATACGTGGAGGGCTGAGATTAACAGAGGAAGAGAAACACGTGGAGGGCTGAGATTAACAGAGGAATAGAAGCTGAAGCTTAAAAGGAGAAAATGGTTTAGCTTTAGAAATCAATAAGAAAATTCTGGATTTGTTGTTTATCGTTTCTTTTGGATTCTCTCTGAGAATTGTTCCTCATCGTCGCCGGAGTTTCATCATGAACTCTTGCTGATGAGAAGTGGTGCTGCGTTACTTGCGAACGTTGTATCCATTTATCGTTATCAATAAACTCAATACTTTGTTTCCTTTATCAGCTACGTGCCGCGACTAAACGAACAGCCTAATTGTAGAAACTTACCTTAGACGCGATCTTATTTTAATGTTTTAAGATCAAGGTTACGAAATTTGATCTCTTCGGAGAGGATTTTGGTAAATGGGATCAGAGTGGAATTCTCCATCGTCTGTTACTGTGGTTATGAATTGGCTCACTTGGAAACGCAACAATCCGATTCATGGTCTCCAAAAAGCGATAGACTTGCTAAACAAGGTATCATCAGATTTGTTTTGGATGTGACAACTGACAATTGATCTTGTTTCTTAAGACTCGTTTATTTATTCTTGATAATAATTGTGTGTATATATTGTGTGGTTTTATTCATGTATTTCATTGTGTTTAATGCATGGTTTTATTCTTCTTCAGACGTTTGAGCGCAGTGAACAAGAGGAAAAATTTCACCTGGAGAAGGCTGCCATGTATTTTGAGATAGCAAAACAACAATACCGAGCTAATAACAAACGTGGTACGTACGACCAAAGCTTTTGCTTTTTTTTAATGACCACCACATATATGCATGAATCGGTTTCATAATTACTATCATGTAATTGTAGGTGCTTTATCATATATTAAATTGAAGGTGAAAATGGAGGAAACAGCTCAACGTTGTCGAGACTGTCAGCTGCTTTTACATAAAGAAGTGAGACTTTCTAATTTTATGTGGTTTTCTACATCATTTAATTTATTCATTTATTTTTCGAATTTATTAACTAACACCATTTTTATTTTTGTTTTAAACAGTTGATGTTAACTGAACATAGAAAAAAGAAGTTGATTTGGGATGAACGTGTGGAGAAGAAGAAGAAACAACTGATTGAAGCATTGCTGCTCAAGCCAACGCATGTGTTTGTTTGTTTTTGTTCGTTCCTTATAATGCTAACATTCATCTAACCCACCAATATTTTGGGTTCTTGTTGACCTTAATTAGCTGCTGTGACAGTAAGGAAGATTGCATATTCCTTTGTGTTATGTATATTAGTCTTTGGTAAAAAGTTTGAGCCGATAAGAAAATCACACTACTACTCATCACCTTAATATTAAAAATATTTGGTATCTCCCTCGATTAGTCCGTTCAAAGGAATGTGGACTAGACCGGCAAGCAATTCTCAACAAACGAGATCAAAGCTAAGTTCTTTGCCCTCCCAGTTGATAAATCCTCTGGTCCAGATGGGTATACTGGTGAGATTTTCAAGCACTTTTGGGAAGTAATAGGAGTGGAAGTAACTTCAGCTGTTTTCGATTTACCAATCATTAAATGAAACGATGCATATCTTCTATATGGAGCCTCAAAATCTGTGTTTTTATATCTAAGAAAACAGTACTACTACTATTAATTGATAATACATACATAATTAAAATGCTCATTGGCGATAAGCATGATAGTGCATAGATAGATCGATCTATAAATTATACACATTTTACTAACGATAGTTGTATATTGGAGAGCGAGAAGAGCAAATAAAACTTTTTTTTTCCCAAAGTTGTGCAGGAATCAAAAGAGTCAGGCCACATACTGACAAACATATTTGATTGCTTACTACTAAAAAAACCTTCTAAAGTAGAGAGAATCATCAACAACACAAACACTAGGCTTCTCTCTACTCTCTCTTCACTTTTAGTTTCTTCTTCTCTCGCTTTCCATCACCTCAGGCACGGATCATCTGTCCGAATCCCATTTTCAATAAACCCATTTTGAGATTTGCAAAGTCTCTGTCATAGATTTCATGTGTTGTAATAAAAGAATGTGTTTATTTTTGTACCATTTTGCAGTTGTTTCTTCCTTTCAGTGTCTTTGAAGCTTCTTCAGCGAAAGCTTGAGCTGCTTCTGCTTCGGCTTCTGCTGCCTCTGCTTCCTTTGCAGCTTCCTCAGCCTCTGCCATGAGAGCTTCTGCCTCTGCTACTGCCTGTGCTGCAACTGCTGCCGCCTCATGTACGTTCATACTCTTCATTCTGGCTAACTCTGTATCAATCTGTGACCTTGTCTGAAAATTCACTTCATCTCTGTCTGTTTTAGGTGAAGGCAAAGAAGAAGTCCTCTGTCTTCCTGCAAACGCCCCCAGACCTTTTTTCCTGTGGGAAGATAACGGAGTGGAGTTTGGAATTCTATACTTACGCTTAACCTGTAAAAGAGAAAAACCCAGATCAATAAACCTCGCAAGCTGCAGTTGATGATGGATATGTCCCCGTTCTACTAAAAACCATGAAGCAAATGGATTGCACAAAAAGTCATACATACGATTCAAAAGACCAAAAATATATGCACATAATACCTTCACAAGTTTACCGCAAGCTGTCAAGTACTTTAGCTTGGTAGACAACAACCGTTTGAAGTCCATTGGAGCATGATATTGATCCTACACAAACGAATAATAGGATCACGGGAACAGTCAGTCCTCTAAATCAGTATTTTACAAGGAACTAAAACAAAGTATCTTAAAAGCAGTAATCGTACAAAATTGAACTCAAAATTTCCCATGATTGAATCAAATAACTAGATAAAAGAAGTTATGTCATTGGCGTGTTTCTGAATTAACTAAAGAATCTACTCTTATGATATTCCCACAAATATATCGACTTAAGCAGATTCCACCACAATAAATCTAGTAATTACAGAAATACTCAGTAGCCATTTCAGTCAGAATATTTAATGCACATTCGTCTATTCAGGAGAGGAGAAGATAAAGATGTCACCCCTTGCCTTTCAATAAAACTGCCACATGCGTTGCTTATATTGAGGAATATATTCTATTGACACAACCAAAGGCTATATTTTGGTTTTCCTCCGCAATAACTTCACAAAATTCTACTTGAAAACATATCAACCCACTGAGGATCATTCAAATTGAAAGGTAACACGATGTGATTTAGCTGCAAGTAACAATTTAACAATACATATTGTCAATGAAAAAAGAAAAAAGATGCAATAATGAAAACAGAATACCTCAATGTAGGCACCAATTGTTGTTTTATTACAGCCACCAGGCTCTTTCAGGGTAGAAATTGCTTCCATTATAAGGCTATCCAACCTGCAACATTTCAAAAAGTTACAATTTGTCTATAACGATAGATTTGACTGATACAAACATCTACGTGTAAGTGGGACTTTACACAATAAAATACTCATCATAATTTCACAAATATAAAGCCACACTGATAAGATGGAGCAAACAGCTCGCATGCTAAGTTGCTAACGGTAAAAAGCTGAAAAGGGAGGATAAAGGTACTAAACCAGTAAAGACAATTTAAACAGAGGTTGAGAAGGTGTGAAAACAAACTCATATCAGATAAATGTAATGTAACACGTATCGACTTTCCGGAAAAAAAAAGAAGTGACGGCGATATACAACAAAGCATTTCCTCTTCAATACAAAATAGACATATTTCTAACCTTACATTAGGTCTCCTTGGTGCAGGATTAGAAGAAACTTGCAGTCCAGAGGTCGCATCCACCATTTCTTCATCACTTTGCAAAGAATTGGTTAGGGCTAGTGAGTTCTCTTCCTGTTTAGGAAGGGAGAGTGTCCTTTTAACAGCTAACCTAGACTTTTCGCGCGATCCCCACCCATTCGCCATGACACTCATGTTTCTCCATTTGTCCTGTCCCAATACAATAAACAACCAAATCCAAATCAGATAAAATACTCATACATAATCACAAACAAAATATAGCAGGATTATCCAAGCTAACCCAAAGGATAAGAAGTAATCATGACCTTAAGATCAACATTGGAACGCAGGTATAAGACTCCGCTAAATTCAGGATCTTTGAGAATTGTGCGCCATTTACCAGGTCCATGCTTTATAACTCCAGACTTTAAAGCTGATTCTTCTTCTTGAGTCCATTTCTGCTTTGGAGCACCCATCCCGATTTCGAGATGCAGTCACGGTCTGCTGTGTCAAAGCAAGTCCGTTCTGCATCAAAACAAATCATATGTCACGAAACCCAATCAGAACTAAATCATATAAAAATGTCAACTTTTTTCTTCAATTGTAAGTCACAATTCACCAAATATCACAGAATCTTTAATCGCAGTAAAACCCTAATTCCCTGTTCCGTGGAAACCCTAGATTATCAAAACTAAAACACAAAAGTAATTCAGACGCAATAGCAAACACCAACTTCACATCACTGAAAGATGTCGAAACTCAAACCCTAGAAAAATTCCTCCTTTGAAAATGAAACCTAATCTCATGCTGAGAATATACACAATCGGCGAAGAAGAAACAGATGAATTCACCAGGAAAATCAGAGTTTTGAGGAAGAATCGATCTTCGCAATACCAATTTCGTTTGATCTGGATTCAGATTTCGAGACGCTTGAGAAGCAGAAAAAAGTTAGGGTTAATGCGAATACAAGGATTCTGAGTAACGGACCTCCGTCAATTCTGATGCGGCAAACCGCTTTGACCAATTAAGCTCTAAACGCGTTTTTCACAAACGGCCTCAAAACGCGTTTTTTTTAAATTACAGCAAGCTTAATTACTAATTACTAATTACGCTAATTATTTATATTCTGAATCTAGTTTGTAAATGGTCTAAATATTTACAAATTCAAATTTTACTAATGATAAAAAAAATTAAAATTAAACTCCCCAAATGATACTTATTCTTAAGTATTACTATTAATATGATAGTCAAATTAGAAATGTATTTATCAAAACTAACACGAAAAGCATATTTACATGATTCATTTGGTTTGTGTTTGAAAGGTTTAGTTTTGATGATGATTAAAAAAAATTGATGCGTAAAATACACAATTTTTGCTAGATAAAATTCAAAAATGTGTGGTGGAGGTGGTAGTTGCGATAATTGTTTTCCTTTTTCTTTTTTTTTTTCTTTTTTTTTTTTGTCGTCAATTGCGATAATTGTTTTCAAAAATGCTATTTTTCATTTTTTTTTTATAACCCAGTGTCTAGACCACACTGTGATCCGACTAGCCCACTGGGCCTAAGCCCGTGTTCCTTGGATTTTTAAGCCTCCACTTAAGGGCCCCTCGGATCTGGTGGTCTGGGACGCTGCGCCCCGTAAGTAAATTGCGCAGTGGCCGGGACTCGAAGCCGGGTGGCGGGTGCCTCAGCTGAGGTTCCTCTACCAGGAGACAAGCACCCGGTTATTTATTTTTCATTTTATCCATGGTATTTTCTCTATTGTTTATTTATTTCTGAAAAATATCTAGTGGACTACCACTAATAAAAAAAAAAACTTGTGGAGTTGGTGGTAGTTTGCCATATTTTGAGAGTTTTCGAAATCTACACACATGTTTTAAACACAATAAAAAGTTCCCATCAAAAAAAGAAACACAATAAAAAGTTGTATAATTTGGAATTTTTTTTAATATCTCACAAATTTGATATATAAACACCATAAGAATAATTTCGTTAAAAAAAAAAAAAAAATCGTTGAATATATCTTTATTTGATTTGTATTTTCTTCAAATGTTCAGTAAATAGAAAGAACCTTCTCTAATTTGGCCTAAATTTTTATGAGTTTATAATACAAAATAATTTCATATTCGGGTTTAAATTAATAATTTATCCAGAAAATTTCAAATTATAGTCAAAATAGAAATTAACAATTAATTCCGTCCAAAATAAATGATCAAAGTACCAAATTAACATTTCATGAGTCCAAAAAGATTTATGATGTGAAATATGTACTTGCCATAATAAATCAAGTAACAACAACAATAATTCATCAAAAAAAATTTGCCCACAATAATTTATAAACATGATGATATATTAATCCGATATATGAATATGTATATATATATATATATAGATATTTAACGCGAAATCGAAGAAGATGAAATAGACCTTGTTAATCTTTCGTGATTTTTAAGTGATAATTCTATTGTTTTATCTTATTTTGATCAAGCCAACAATAAGTCATACCAATTAGTCATGAGTTATACATCATTCTTGATATTGGTAAAAGAGAATGTTTAAGTGGTGGATGGAGTTGGTTGTATACTTTTTTGGCATCAAGATGAGAATAATTTGCTACTTAAAGATTTTGTAATATTAGACATCATATTCTATTATTATTCACATAATATAGTCAAGTGAGAAAATCTGGTTAAGTCAATCCAGTGGTTTAATCCGGTTCATTTGTCTACATTTTTGCAGTAGTGTTAATTACGTGCACGAGAACACAAGAGTGAAAATAAAAAAGCAAGTTAGAGTCAACAAAGTTGCCCGCCTAACGCTTAGCATTTTTGAATCCGTTTTAAGCAAAGCCTTAATTTGAATTTATAGCTTTCATCACAAAAAGAGTAGCCATTCTCGAAGAGAGAGAGAGATAGACAAAGAGGTATGGCGACAAAGACCGATGATTTTGCACCATTTCCAGTTAAAGATCAGCTTCCCGGAGTCGAATTTTGTGTCTCGAGCTCTCCAAATTGGCGTATGCATTTTTCTTTTCGTTTAGATTTTTTTTTTTTTTTCTTTCGTTTAGATTTTTGTTAATTCTGTGTTAATTGTGTTATATTAGCTAGCTGTCGAATTATGTTTAATTTTTAAGAAAATGAATTTAGTTTTACCGATAGTGATGAACATATATACCATCTAGTTTTAATGATGCTGTATGTGTTAAAAGTACTAATTCTTCTTGGTCTATAAACCTAGTTTTTGAGCGTTTTGTGATTATTTAACAAAATTTTGTTCAGTTCAAACATTACCATGACCATTATTCATATGACATATTAGTCGTCACCAAATTCTCATTTTTATTTGTCAACGATATATGTTTGGGAAAATGATATGGTTATATGATTAATGGTGCAGCGGAAGGCATAGTTCTTGGGTTTCAACATTACATTGTAATGCTTGGAACTACTGTTATCATACCTTCCATACTCGTCCCTCTAATGGGTGGTGGCGACGTAAGCATTAACCCTAATCTCATCTAATAACTTCAAATTCACGAAAAGAAAATTCTCCCTAAATTATATAAACTGATAGCAAACGACTTCATTTTTTCAGGTGGAGAAAGCGGAAGTCATAAACACAGTGTTGTTCGTGTCGGGAATAAACACGTTGTTGCAGAGTTTGTTCGGAAGTCGACTTCCTGTCGTCATGGGAGCTTCTTATGCTTACGTCATCCCTGCTCTTTACATCACTTTCTCTTATCGCTTCACTTACTATCTCCATCCTCATTTGGTTAATCACAATCCATTTTTCTTCTTCTTTGAAAACATTTAAAGTTTCAAATCTAAAAATGTAAATTAGTGAATGTGTTAATTGCAGAGATTTGAAGAGACTATGAGAGCTATTCAAGGAGCTCTTATCATTGCTTCTATAATTCATATGATAACGGGTTTCTTCGGTTTGTGGAGGATCTTGGTCAGGTCCGGAGAAAAAAAGATAAAAGCTCATGTATATTGTTGTTACTTGTGAAACAAGAAACCTAAAGCCCTTAAGTTTTTGCTTTTGTTTTTATAAAACTACTTCAGGTTTCTTACTCCTCTTTCGGCTGCTCCTCTCGTGATTCTCACCGCTGTTGGCCTCGTCGCCTTAGCGTTTCCTCAGGTAGACATTCAAGATTAACTGCCAAAAAAACCCGAATTGGTACTATTTAAGTTTTTTGTTTTGTTTGTTTGTTGAGCGGAGCTTAAATAGTACTCTTTCTGTTGCAGCTTGCGAGATGTATAGAAATTGGACTCCCAGCGTTGATCATACTGATAATTTTATCTCAGGTTTCGGTTAATTTCGTGAGATTTTATATAAAACCTTATCATTTCTGAACTCTGACAATGGTTGTATGAATGTTGTCAGTATCTTCCTCACTTGTTTAAGTGTAAGAGATCTATATGCGAGCAATTCGCTGTTCTGTTCACAATAGCTATCGTCTGGGCATACGCAGAGATTTTGACAGCAGCTGGAGCTTACGACAAAAGACCGGATAGTACACAGCTCAGTTGTCGAACAGACCGGTCTGGTCTCATTAGTGCTTCTCCATGGTCTGATAATCTTCCATCTTTCACTGGATCTCCTCTGTTTCAGAAACAAACACAGGGTTCTCTTGACAGTCTTTTTCATTCTTTGTTAGGGTGAGAATTCCATATCCATTGCAATGGGGACGTCCAAGTTTTCATGCAAGTGATGCATTCGCAATGATGGCAGCTACGTATGTGGCGATTGTAGAGGTTTTGTCACCATTTCAGTTCAGATTATTTGTTCACAGAAGGATTTTTATCTTCCTAAAAGATCTTCTTTTTTGTTGTATTTCTTCAATGGAGTAGACGACAGGTTCCTTCATCGCCGCTTCAAGATTTGGTAGCGCAACTCATATCCCTCCCTCAGTGCTTAGTCGTGGCATTGGATGGCAGGTAAAATGGATTGACTGTTATTAAGATTTGATTTCAAGAATGTTAGTATGTGAATCCAATGTGTGTGCTATGTTGGAATTGAATACAAACAGGGCATAGGCGTTTTGCTGGGTGGACTGTTTGGAACAGCAACTGGTTCCACAGCTTTGGTGTAATGGAAACATTTTCTTTCCGCTCTGTCGTTTTCTTCAATCAAGAAAACTCGGTTTTCGGATTCCGGATTTTAAACTCTGTTTTTGTTTGTTCTTGTCATTTGTAGCGAAAATACAGGGCTTCTAGGATTAACGAAGGTTGGGAGCAGAAGAGTGGTCCAGATAGCTGCAGGTTTCATGATCTTCTTCTCCATTTTTGGTAATGCTCAAACCCATGAAGTCACTCCGAAACAATTGGTCTTTTTTTGTAATCTGACTGCTATACTTGGTGAAAAACAGGGAAGTTTGGGGCTGTTCTTGCATCGATACCATTACCGATCTTTGCAGCTCTGTACTGTGTTCTATTCGCCTATGTTGGTATGTACAACTTAAAACCAAACTCTTTCTGATCCTTTTAGCTTCTATAAATTTGATTGAGACTCAGCAGAGAATCTTGTGAACAGCTTCTGCCGGACTTGGCCTTCTTCAATTCTGCAACATAAACAGCTTTAGAACTAAATTTATCCTCGGCTTCTCCATCTTCATCGGTCTCTCTGTGGCACAATACTTCACCGAATATCTATTCATCTCTGGTCGTGGACCTGTTCACACTCGTACTTCTGCTGTAAGTGTTCAAGAGAAACAGAAACCTTCATTATCATTTTTTTTGTCTTGTCCGTGTACTGATTCGTTTTGGTGTTGCCAACGACAGTTCAATGTGATAATGCAAGTGATATTCTCTTCGGCGGCAACAGTTGGAGTAATGGCAGCGTTCTTGTTGGACTGTACTCATAGCTACGGACATGCCTCGGTGAGGAGAGACAGTGGAAGACATTGGTGGGAGAAATTCAGAGTCTACCACACTGATACTCGAACAGAAGAGTTTTACGCATTGCCTTACAACCTCAACCGATTCTTCCCTTCTTTCTGAAAATTCTGAAAATCCCGAAAACCCAAAACTAGGTTTTTTCAGAGTGTGAGAAACTTGCATCTAGAGAGATACATGTATAATACAAATAACTTTCCACCTAGACAACTTTTGATGTTTTTTTTTTCCCTTTTTGCCAACACTTCTTGTATGTTACTACAACATGTGTTTGCTTATAGATTGTAAGAGCTACATATTCCAGAGTAACTAGGAAATTGGGATTCAACCTCCTTTTTTTTAATGGGAATTGATCATCTTAGTCCAGCTGGAGCTGTTGGGCTGCCTCCTCCAGGTCTCATGGCTCTCTGGGCAAGAGTCCCATCGTAATCCTAAACCCAGATATATTTTCCATTTTAGCATGAATGAAGGCAACACAAAGATGACTTGGTTTTGGGTGAATGTAAAGTATAATTGGGAAGTTACCCGTTTCTCAAAGGAACTATCCTGCGAGTCAGCTATCTTGTCTGCAATTCCATAGTCAATGGCTGCTTGTGCTTGGAGATATTTAGGTCGCTTGATGTCCTCGTTGATCTGCTCTTTGGATTTCCCTGTTCCCTTAGCTAACAGCTCGATGTAGTACTCGGTATTTGCATCAAGTTCCTTGGCCTGCCAGAGGATTATACATTACAGTCCAGGGGAAGAAATTTGAGGGGAAGTACATAAAAGGGTATAAGAATGTGAGCGCCACCTTTATCCACATGTCTATGGCAGCTCCACTCGATCTGTTTACTTTTGGCAGATATAATTTTGCTGCACCATAACCAACAAAACTTAGAAGCTTACACAAATGGGCAAGAGGTATTAAAATATGTTTATTGTGATCTAAATGCAAAGTTAAAGAGTACAAATATTTTAGAGAATAGAGACATACTTGATGAATGTGGTTGTACGGCACGATAACCTTTTTTCCCGAGAGAAAGAAGCATTGCTGCTTGACCAAACGCCATGCCACAATTGATAGTGTATACATCTGATTTGCAATACTTTTACGCCACAAGAAAAAAGTGATAAAAATCAGCAAAAGAAACTTCGTGATCTGACATATGCCAGTAGATAAAACATTAGATGATTTTATCATCACAATATAGATAAATGTTTAGATAGTTTTAGTGAGATCACTTACAGAGATGGTATCAGCTATGGCATAGGCCTCTGTTTCTGATCCAACAGTTTCCATCTTCTCATTCTAAATGGCATAAGCAAAAGGAAAAAAAAAACGAATAGGTAGCTTGTTAAAGGTAACTATTAGGTTATCTAAATAATGCCAGAAAACTACAACCAACAAACAATATGTAATCAAACTTCTTTTACTGACCTGGGTCCCGGGTGAATTTATATATAGGTAGATGGGCTTAGTTGGGTTATCATAATCTAGCCACATAAATTGAGCAACGAGTAACTCAGTAACTGCAGGTACGATCTGCAAGTAAAATGAAGCAAAATGAGCTAGATCCAATGCCTGAACAGAGAGGATGCAGAGTACCAAATAAATGGGTTTAATAACAAGTTTTCAAGACATGACGGTCTTACTGGCATTCCAAGGTAGCATATCCGAGCGTCCAATAGCAAAGAAGGCAAATCTGGAGGAGCAGTTCTTGGTCTTTCAGATCCTCCCCCGCCACCTCCACCTCTGTACATCTGGACACTCATGCTATATCTTCTAGCGTCTGCTGCATTCATACCGGACATACTCCATATTCCTCCATTGTCCAAATAATTTCTTCTAGATGAGATGCTTTCCTGTAAACAAAGAAGCACGACAACAAACAAGCTAAGATTCATATATTTGAGAAGCAACTTTGTTCGCCTCTTAGCTGTTTTCTGATTGTAGAACTGTGAATGGACTGATAAGAAGGCTTAAAAGAGAAAAATAACCTCTGTAACTTTTTCCGCTTGCCTACGGACAGGGCTATCCTCCGTCATGAACATATCCATTTGAGCTGGATTAAGCCCGTAAAAATATTGCGGTACAGTCTTGAAGTTCTGCATCACTAAAGAAAAAGGCGAAGAAAAATAGTATGTCAGATCAAATATACAAAGCATTAAAGAAAACACAGTTTTTCAATTTTATCAGCTTGTTTGGCGAAATTTGTTCTCCTAAGCATAAATTTCGTGATTGTAGCAATCAAACTTATATATTCGTCCATTACATAGACAACAACTTATCACGAACAAAAGAGTTTCACTTTGCTGAAATTAGTGTGTCTTAAACTAAGTCCAGGTTAAGACATTAGAGAAACTAAAAGCCCACAGAGATTTGCTATACAAACTTAGATAATGAACAACATCGACGTATTGTAATCGGAATTAAACCCCGCAAAGAAATAATCTTTGCTACATCGATTTTCCTAATTCATCGTCCTAACTTATGATTGCAGACAAATGGGTCACTAAGGCCTATCAGGTACTTCGTCTAAGCTAATCAAAGGAAAATACAGAACTTTGTGACTCAATTCAAAGTTGGAGACCTATGAACAAATCTATCAGAAGGAGAAGATAACAAAGATGAGAGAAAATGAAAACCTCCGTCTTTGAGATTGTCTCCTCGAAATTGTTTAGGGATATGGTCAAAGCTCATATCTTTAGCAGAAGCAAAGCAGTGTGATATCCTTGTACGTCTAGGAACAGTAGAGCAAGGCATGTTCGATGAAAAGAGCTTAGATCCAGACATGAACGGTGATTTGGGAAGCACAGACTTGGAACAGACAGCTTCATGGTTGAGCTGTGAAGTAAGAGGAGAGACCAGAGAAGTCGCCATCTACGATTTAGCTACCAACGAAGAAGAAAAGAAGAAGATGATGACTAAAAAAGAACGAAGCTTTTTGGGATTTTTGAGGCGAAATTAGGGATTGCTTGTCATTTTTGCTATCGTCAGATGAAGAAGATGTAAGTACTGTACAGTCAAAATCCCGACCGAACCATAATCGGTTTGAGAATTTTTGTCTATTAAACCGGTTTTGTCTCTACAAATTTCAATCTGGGTTTGATATCTATTTTTTAATAGATTTTAGGGTTTATCTTGTAAAATTACATAGTTAGGGACTTTTTTAAAAAATAAATAGAAAGATGTTTGTTTCTCTGTTGTAATGTAGATAAGACACTAAATAAGAAAATCTTATCTTCTGGTGAAGAAGAGAAATATGAGTTCCATAAGCCAAAGCATTCTCATGGCTTTAACAGTAACTGTTAACAAATATGCTTCTTCCAATGTTCAAGCTGTACGCAGAAACGATACCAAACGTGATTCTTTAACCGCTCCAGTTGCTGATTTAGGACGCAGAAACATCCTCTTCTCCTCAACGTCGTTCATCGCCACTGCTTTGACCAGCAGCGATCAGCTTCTCCAGAGTAATTAAAATGCTTAATTGTGTTTTTTTGTTTTAACATTTCGAATGTTTGTTTTGCCTAAACTATGTCGGTTTTTGGGGAAGAATTGTTACAGAGTATTTGAAGAAGACTGAGGAAAACAAAGCCAAGAATGATAAAGAGGTAAAGAGAAATGAATTTATTTACCAAAACGCACTTTTTTGTTATGTTTTGTCTGGAATTTTCGTATGATATTTTTCGTTCGTGTTGGGAAAATTAAACAGAGATTGGACAGTTTTTACAAGAGGAATTATAAAGACTACTTTGAGTTTGTTGAAGGATCTATAAAAGGAAAGACAGAAGCAGAGCTCAGTGAATCTGAAAAAAGGATTCTTGAATGGCTCAAAGCCAACAAATGATGATGATGATGATGATGATTATGATTGATGATGATGATAAATTTTTGTATGTCTATGAAACTTTTTTTAAAAAGGCTGCTCAGTAATTTATATATCTTTTTTTTTTTTTTTTTTTTTTTTTTTTTGCTAAACCATTGCAACAAGGCTAAATGTCACAGTGTGCCACTGGTAATTTATATATCTTGCTTAAGTTTTGTTGAATCTGTTGCGAATTCGCTTTCTCGATAAACCATAAGCTCAAGCTTGTGGATAAAATGACAGAGTCAAGAGAGTGGAGTGGGGAAGTGACTTGAAGCTCGTAGTCTCTCATACGAGAGAAATATATCGAAAGAGCCTAAACCGTCTGTGTTTCCAGTCAATGATGTGCTTAAACTGCTCCAGTAGTGGATAAGCTTGTCCACCGCGTTTCCGGTCGCTAAGTTCTTGAAAGTGTTTTAGTGCGAATGTGCTTCTATTAGGTATCTTCTCAAGAAAAACTCTGCCTGTTTCCGTCGCAAAATCAAACACATGTACAAAAGCATTAGATGGTTTCGTGTGCCTCAAGTAAGCATTCTTACGTTGTTTCTTGCTTTTCAAGTTAAGCAAGCAATCTACTTGAGCTTGATTTATTGAGTCTAAACCTAACAAGAACAAACTCGTATCGTATTACAATTTACAAAATTTCAGTTTTATTATAGAAAAAAATAGTTAAATTCTCCATCTTAATACGCATGTCGTATTACCAAACTTGGTTGATCTACTTTGAAATTAAACACAAGTCATCAATCAAATTATAATTACATGTGATATTGTGTGTTGGTGGTAAATTTATATATGGCCATTTGACAGAATTTCCCGTTTTTATAAATGAGTTTAATACTTCAAAATAAAGAGAGAAATCTAAAGAATTTTAATGAAAATAATCAGATAGCAGCTAGGTTATGAAGTTCAGTTGTTATTTTGACATAAATATCAGATAATAGTAATATTGTTGCCAACTTCAAATAACTGAAAAAAAGCTAGAAACTAGTAGAGATAGCAGCTAGGTTATGGAGTTCAGTCGCTACAATTGGCCAAAACTAATCAGGGTGGTTCAATGTCAATCAAACCACACATGGCCAAACCACACATATATAGTTGCAACTTGCAAGGTAGGTAAGCAATCAACGGTATTATAAAGGCTAATCGAGTAGAATGCAATATCAATCATATATGAATGAACAAAGTTAGATAGAAATTCTATTTTTGTTAAATATTACCTTAATTAATGCTCATTTTCTTTTTCTTTTCCTTCTCTTTTAGAAATTACTCATGGGTTGTGAAATCACAATCTTGCAAGTTATTTATCACAGTTTCTTCTCCAAGAAAAAAGTACATACTTTTATTGAAAATTTCTCTGAATTTAGTCATATTAATGTACTATGTCGCTCTAAAAGATGCGAACATTATTGCGACATTTTATTGGGTAAAAACTCAAAAAGAAAGTACACAAAATTAGCATTAATTAAGGTAAAATTAATGGATACAAACTTTAAAAAAAAGTACAAAAAATCATTGTCGATGCCGTAAAGCTTGATCATTAAATGCTTATACTTTTTTTTTGATAACCGAGTGTCCTGGCCCCACTGAGGTGGTCCAGAATAGAGACCGAACCCTTACGGCACGGACGCACACCCGAAGGTGGGACATGGCCAGGTAACGGTCTTCGGTCTCGGGCGCCAGAGCAAGTCTGCATGTAAATTCCCTGGTGGCCAGTGCGAATCGAACCCGGGGCCGTTCTTGCATCTGCAAGCCGTTTACCACCAGACTAACTCGTCCTGGTTTAAATGCTTATACTTCGTTGATAGTGAAACATATCACACTCTTTTTAAAAACTAGCTAGAGAAAACATTAGTATATCTTGATTAAACTAATGAGGTTAAATGATTTTGGTTATTCATGTTATATATGTGATGTTATAAAAGCTAGAGATCAATGTAAACATTTTTCCTTCTTTAGTTACTTTTTAAATTTATATTTTTCGGACACAAATATAGTTTCAGGGCTTCTCTACTTGCATGGATGTAAATCAATTCATGAGGACATAAAGCCAGAGAATGTACTGATATCTGTTCATTCAGATAATTTGACTGCCAAGATTTCGGCTATGGCAAACATCAATAAATTCTCAAATAATTACAATCTCGTTTCCACCTTCTACTCGTCCGTCTCGTGCATTGATGAAAGTGATTTCAGAGCTCGACCAGATCGGGATCTACATATTGTTCAACCATCAAGAGGTTTTGATATTGTCGAAGCTAGGGTTCGTTCTACAGTTCCTCGGAATTTCTCGATGACATCTTCACTGTTGCAGGTGACATCTTCTCGATGGCTCAATTTCTTAAAAAATATTTTTTGCTGGGTATTTTTTTTTTTTATTGCACTTGGTTGATCCTTATATAGATCAATAGATTGAAATAGTGGTTTAGCTTGGTAAAGAAAATGACAACTAAATTCATTAGTGTATGTTTTGCACAAAAAATAATTCATTAGTGTATGAGTGTGGTAGATTATCTGTTGATTGTATTTGTGATTATTTTGTGAAAACGATTTTTAAACAGTTTTTAAAAAACTCTCATGTATTAATTGCATGTTCTAGTAATTTGAGTTGGCAAGCAAATGGACTTATTATCAAGTGTGATAACCCTACTTTTGCAATGGACATGTTTAGTTTTGGTTGTGTACTCTTTCACTCTCTCACTAGTGGTCATCATCTATTTGGACTTGTTACAAACATCAAGAAATACAACTAAACTATTTTCATCAAAATTAAAGTATATCATTTGCCTAATGTTTGACAACTCATCTTATCTAATGCGTTGTTTGCTTATTTGCAATCCTATAGCAACTGATGTGCACGAACATCCAATGTTTTGAGGAATAAATTCTTTTGAACCCATTTTCGAATAATCTTGTTCATCCAATGTGACAACGTTAAAAATTTTGAAATTTAGTTGCAAAAGATATATATTCTTTTCAAAATAGACATTTTTTTTGGTTGAATTACAATAACTATCTTCCATATTATTGTGCTACAAACATGAAAACACAATATATTTGTAAAATTTCGAGAATATGTTATTTTTTTCTTTAACTAGAAAACACACATCACAAGAATCATAGCATATATAGTTGGTAGAATTCAAAATACCAGACAAAATGGGTAAACTAAAAAATAAAGTATAAAAAGAGCACCCCCGATGCCATATAGCTTGATCATTAGATGCTTCTACTTTGTTCAAATGTACGTACAGATTAAACACCTCTTAAGAAAAACAACAATAGATTGAACAACATAATTGCGTATAGGGTTCCTTTTTGGAAATTTTGAAATTTAAGGACATTATTAAAAAGTTGAAATGGAATTGAGGCATTAAATTGCAATCAATAAATAAATAAATTTCTGCTCGGTTCAGTTCAGGTGTGAATTAATCGGGCGGGCTTTTTCCGATACGCCTTGCTAATAAAAAAATCGGCGACCAAACTGTTTCTCTTCTCCAGCAAGCTTCGTAGAGAAGGAAGAAGACTGGAGAAGATGGATAATGGCGAATCATCATCCACCAACAATTCGTCGCGTCCATGGGAATCCTACAACACCTTCTTCACGAACGCCAAAGCCGGTTTGTTCCCACCGATTATCCCCAATAGGGTTTTCGTCTTCTTCTTTCAGTAATTTGTCAGGATTTTTTCGTGAATTTGTTTCGTCCAGAGTTGAATCACTTGAAAATTGATCAATTCGTTGATCGTGAGTTATAGTTGACTGGTCTTTGATCATATTACTTATGTGTTTTGGTTCAGATGAAGATTCAATTGTGGAATTTGCGGAATATCAAATTCTTAAATTTGCATCTTTAGTTATTGATTGATGTTTGGATTAAGTTTCTAAACTCGTCGATGCGTCTGTGTGTATATTCGGTAGGAATGGAGGGAGTTGACAAAGAGAAAGTCCAGAGGATTGTCTATGAAATGAGTAAAGGATCCAAGTTTTTTCAAAATGAGGAACGTAAAGAAGCTCTTATGAAACAAAAGATTGAGCATATGCGTGATAGATGCGCAAAGCTCTCTTCCTCTGATTTATCTAATTATCACAAGGTATTTGCCACTATTTCTAAGGTTCTAGCTATAGAAACTTTATCTTCGGAATAGTTGGCTATGATAGGGAGTATTGGTTCTGTAATCTTTCATTTTTGTTTCGTTAGCCGTTAACTATATATAAGCTTTGTCAATTTGAAGGTGGTTGATAAAAGGATCTTAGAGTTAGAAGCTACACGTGACCTATCCAGAATTTGGCTGCATGTTGATATGGATGCTTTTTATGCTGCTGTTGAAACTTTGAGCGATCCTTCTCTCAAGGGCAAGCCGATGGCTGTTGGAGGATTGTCCATGATCTCCACTGCTAATTATGAGGTATGCTTTGGTTTTCAACTGGTGGATAAACAGTCTGCTCGAAGTTATGCTCATAACTTGTACTCATTGTTTACTATCCCTCTTAGGCAAGGAAGTTTGGGGTCCGTGCTGCAATGCCTGGCTTCATTGCTCGTAAACTATGTCCAGATTTGATATTTGTTCCTGTAGATTTCACTAAGTATACTCACTACAGTGACTTAACAAGAAAGGGTTAGTTGCTCCTCTTTTACATGTGTAGCTTTATGCTTGCTGTTCTTATTTTTCTGCTTATATTTGCATATATGTGTTTCATTTAGTTTTTAGGAACTATGATCCTCACTTCATTGCTGGGAGCTTGGATGAAGCCTACCTTGACATAACTGAGGTTTGTCGAGAAAGAGGTCTTTCAGGTGGAGAAGTAAGTGTGACCTCATCAGATGCATTCTTTGTGATGGTTGTATCTTCTTTGAGAATTTTTTTGGCTGACACTGCAACTGTTCCCTTCCATTTCTTCACTTTGTGTAGATTGCAGAGGAGCTTAGATCTTCTGTTTATTCCGAGACTGGACTGACATGCAGTGCTGGGGTAGCTGCAAACCGCTTGCTAGCCAAGGTTCTCTTTAATCTTTATATGTGCATGACCTCCTATACTTTCAAATTTTACCTCTTTTTCTGATTTTCCATCTTACATGTGTCAGTGTGGTCTACATTACTATTTTACAAAAAAAATGTGTTCGTAATCTAGCCCTACTATGTTTCAGGTTTGCTCAGACATTAACAAGCCTAATGGACAGTTTGTTCTACAAAATGACCGATCAACTGTCATGACATTTGTATCTTCCCTCCCTGTAAGAAAGGTATGTGTTCTAGAACTGTTTTTTTGCTGTCAAATCTTTGGAATTTCAAGTCTATAAAGAGAAACTACCACTCCAATTATTCCCCAGATCCTTTAATTTGCTGCGTAGAAGTGCAGATGATGATTCACTTATGTGAGCGATATTAGATATCCAATAGAAAATTTGAATATAGGTAGTAATAGAGATGCCATGCAGAACTTAGTTTCTGTTTGGGACAGAACTAAAAAACACCTCACATTGTTTGTGACGGCTGGGGGTTGGTTCTTTATGAGTCATCTAAAGCAGTGGCCTAGGTTTTTCAAAAATAAATTCGATTAGAGTTTGAGTTGAAAATTTGTGCTAGGAAATGATACTGTGTTTCTATATTTACTAGTCAAATTAATGCTAACTGGAAATTGGTTAACAGATCGGTGGAATTGGTAAGGTTACTGAACATATTCTAAAAGATGCTTTGGGAATTAAAACATGCGAGGAGATGGTGCAGAAGGGACCTCTTCTCTACGCTCTCTTCTCTCAGTCGTCAGCAGGTAGCAGCATGTCATCCTTCCTTTTTACTCTTCCTTTCCAGCAAACGATTTGTTATTTTGTAGGCATTAGTTGTTAAGTCATGTTTCACATGATATTTTTAATGGAACATATCACATCCTTATAGCTATTGCTCGACAAAATTTTGTAGACTTTTTTTTGTCGGTTGGACTGGGGCTTGGAGGAACAGACACCCCTCAGGTTAGGTCTCGTAAAAGTATTAGCAGTGAGAGGACATTTGCTGCGACAGGAGATGAAAGATTGCTATATTCGAAGTTGGGTGAGTAGTTTGCGCATTTGTGTTTTTTTTCTCTCATAAGACCTACATAGCTCAATAATCAAAGGCAAACCAAAGGATCTAGAAAAATTTAACACAATAAAGGATTGTTTAATAAGACTACTTTAAATCTATGTTGCATGGAAACTCTCTTCGAGGTCCGTTTCCCGTTTCCGAAACGTTTCGGAAACGGAAACTCTTCGGAAACACGAAAAACGTCACGGAAACGCGTTTCCTAAAAATCTATGTTTGGAAACACGATGGAAACTCACGTTTCTAAAATGGAAAAGCGACAAATCCTTTTTATTGACTTTGGAAACTTAATAAATAAAAATTGAAAAGATTAAGATTTATAGAGTAATACATATCACTAATTTTGGAAGACTCTGAGTTTTAAAATTTTTTTATCGACAAACTAGATTTGGAGGCATCTTTATATGATCTACGATGAAACTAATGAAAATGAGGATGAAAATGTTGGTCTAAATTAAATATTTGAACTTGAACCTTTTAATCTTTTTTTCTTTTAGAATTTTAGTTAACCTATTTAATATTTGATGTTTTGGACTTGTATTGTTTAATTAAACTATTTTTATAGTTTTATGTTAATGTTATATATATATACATATATTATATATGTGTATACGTTTCCAATACGTTTCCAATCCCTAATTTTAGAAAAAATCGTTTCTCGTTTCCGAAACGTTTCGCTTCCACGTTTCCGTTTCCGTTTCCATGCAACATAGCTTTAAATCATAGTTTGTTTCTGGGGTACTGAGCAGTCTTACATCAACCTGTTTGCCTTTTAGACTAAATGAATCTATATTTGACATAATTCAACTGAATTGTTATCTCTTCTGTTCTGGGCAGCTGAAATTGCAGAAATGCTATCTCATGACATGAAAAAGGAGGGTCTAACAGCAAGGACGTTGACACTTAAACTGAAAACTGCCTCCTTTGAGGTGCTCATCTAAATTTCATTTTATTTCTCCCTATTTGGAAATCCATCTATGTGCTGAAAGTGTGACAATCTACTATGCTCAGATCAGGAGCAGAGCTGTTAGCCTGCAGAGGTACACGTGTTCAAGCGATGATATACTAAAGCATGCTACAAAGCTGTTGAAGGCGGAACTTCCTGTTTCCGTAAGGTTGATAGGTGCAGCTCAATAGTGTTCGTCATTCTTCTCTCTTTAGAAACATAATATTAAATATACTAGCCCATCTACTAAAATTCCAGAATTCGATCTATGAATATGCAGGTTTGCGCATGTCGCAGTTCGTTGGAGAAATCCGCAATTCTGATCCTTCACAGGGAACTATTACTAAGTTCATCGTTCAAAAGGATTCTTCAAGACAAGATCTGGATGATAATGACTCATTTGACTTAGATGCTAGTAAAAATTGCTTAAGTAATGACCTGAGTTTATCCTTTGGTTCCCATGAGACAAGCTATGCCCATCTGAAGGATGTTGTTGAATATGAAGAACGATCACAAATAGATTCTGAAAAGGTAATTCCAAATCAAGAATGTGTGAAAAAGAAGAAAGGCCGCAAGTACTGGAAGGAGATGCTCTGCTCAAAAAACACAAGGAGTGCAAACTAGATACGAATCACTCGATGAATGATAGTTCTAATGCACAAAACACCGAAGCAGTTTCAGTATTTCCGCAAACGGGCCATTATATTGGGTTGATGGCTACAAATGCGTCTTGTGTGGGATAGAGTTACCACCATCTTTTGTTGAGGAACGACAAGAACACCTCCTGATTTTCATCTTGCTCAGAGACTTCAAAACGAAGAATCTGGATCTAGTTCTTCCACAACACCTTCAAAACGAAGGTCAGCTGACAGTAACCTATTAAAGCGTACTCCTTTTATTTTCTTACAAGTCTCTGCTTTTCACTGAAACTTCATAAACAACACTTGTTAGGATTCTCGGAAAGGAAAAGGTAAATTCCAAGCGAAAGAAGCAGAAACCAGATCAAAAGGACAGTAGCAAACACATCCCAATACACACATTCTTCACAAAGAGCAATCAAAACTCGTGAGCCTTGTTCATGTTGTCCATAGTTTAGAAATGTTCGACTCTCTGGGTGGATGCCACGTCTCATCTATGTTACCTATATTATCCCCACCATTGTATATTTTGTATTTATATTTAATTATTTATCTGAACCTCTTTCAGGAACGAAACCCAGAGGAAATGAAGATGGCTCTGATTTCACCTAAACTCAATCTCTCACAGTCCAATTCCCTGGGTGAAATTACCGTCGATGTCAGACATCCTGACGTCATCAAAAGCTCGAAAGCTAGACTTAAAGATCCAGACTTTAGGACCGTTTTTCAGAGTGACGGGGAAGAACGCAGATACAGGCGGTGAGGTAGGACGAGCAGAGGGAGTGGTGCGGCCATGGTTCGGACGCGGCTTGGTTCTGCATTTGGATACGATAAGACTGACGAAAGAGACGGTGGCAATGGATAAGTCTGTTCTTGGAGTTGGTTTATACGTCGGAGCTGTAGCTATTCGTCATGGCTACGACTGTGGTTGCCGCACAGCTCAACTTCTCGCTATCTACGACTCCGATCTCTACCATTCCAAGGTCTCTCTCTCTCTCTACCCCTTCTATCGAAATTGAAATTGAGAATTTTGTTTGGTTATACCGAACCGAACCGAATCTAAGAGGTGGCTTCTCAATTTGGTTTAATGGGTTTTGACTTCAGTTCGTATTTTTGGTTTTTTTTTTGTCGACCATAATTTCATTAATAGCCAAAAATTTGGCCCATGAAATATTTTGGTTTAGAAAATAATAGGTTTGAATTCAGTTTGGTAATAATTAGAAAATAACTCTTTTTTTTCGTCAAGAGTTTGTATTAAAATAGAAATAGAAAATTAACTTTAGAATATAAAATATATAATGATTTACTAATTACTACTATCATTATCATCTATATATATTTATGTAACATGATTTGATTACATATACACTTTAGGTAGATATGTAACTTTTATAAAAGTTTAAAATCTATTCGATTTATTCGCTTTAGGCTGGTAACATTTAAATCGGTTTTGGGTGTTACAATAATAAAACCGTTTGGTCTGTAAACAAATTTCGGTTCTGGTTGATAGTGATTTTGTTTGGAATTTCCCAGTCGGCATACCCGGTTTTATGATCGGACAAACCCGAATTAATTCCTGATTTCCATTCGGTTTAACATGTACCTAACACATACTGAACCGAACCGAATTTTCATGTATCAGCTGGTTAGGTTTTACAGAAGAATTGGGTTCGAAGAGGTGAAAGAAGTGAGTGGGTCGTCGATTGGAGACATGGCTGACATGTTAGTGTGGGGTGGAGTTGGTACTCGCATGGATGCTAATATCCATCATCTCCTTCTTAAATGGTACAAAGTTTTCCTCAAATCACATTCTTAATTGCAGATGTATATTATGTTTATCTACACCATACGAATCACACCATATGATTTCTGACAAGAATTATATATTTATATACTTATCTTCTGTCTTGATTTCAAGAACCAAACAAGAACGAAAAGCACAACCAACTAAATTCTAACAAAGATTCAGGAAAGGGTTCGTTTTCCTGGTTTCAATGTCTTATCGATGATTTCTTCTTCTTCTTCTTCTTCTTCTTCTTCTTCTTCTTCTTCTTCTTCTTCTTCTATAAACCCTAAAAAATGAAATATTAAACTGTAGGCGATGCTCATTAAATTTTAACTTATAAAACCGATCGCCGGATGACTAAGAAATTTGTTCGCATCACGAAATAAAACGCTTCGAGTTAGTGTTCGTTGCACCTTCTTTGGTTTCTAATGGGAAAGAGACAACGGAAATAAATAGAAAATTATCACTCCTTTTATAGGATCTAAATGCAAATCTACTTTGTTTGACCAAAAAAATAAATAAATTAAATGCAAATTTACTTTCTTAGGTTAATCAAAATAATATTACTTGTTTAGTGACATTAGTACATTAAATAGGATATAAATAAATTGAGAATATATATTTAATATATGGATTGCATTGAGTAATGAGTGAAGCCAAAATGTCGAATGTGTATGATTTTAAAGCATGGATGGTCCACCATTTGTATATAACCCTCCAAATATGACTAAAAAATCCAAGCCACTTTAATTCCATATTTTGCTGTCCATATATAGACAATGTTACTTAATTCGAAACGTATACACATAATAAAGAAAGACTTTTATCACATAAAAAGTTCCAACTTGTACGAGGTTAAGCAAAATCACAATGGAGACCACACTAACAACAATCCCAGATGCGATATTGGTGGAGATACTTGCGACATTCCCATTGAGAAGCATCGCTGGATTCAAGCTGGTGTGTAAAAGCTGGAAATCAGTAATAGAATCGTCGTATTTCCGCCGTGTCTTTGCTTCTTTGCACCAAAACTCCTCTCCCTCATGGTCGATCATGTTCCCAACTGTTTATCATCATACCATCAAAGAAGTCATAAGCTTCCATGGATGCGAGACATGGAATCTTCCCAAACCTTTAGCTTCTTATATCATTCCTCCTAATCTCCCTAACGCTGAATACTTGTACGTGGCTTCTTCCAATGGATTAATTTGGATTGATGTCACAACTTGCAGTTATAAATCCTTTGTTGGTAATCCAGTTTTACAACAATGGGTTGAGATCCCTCCTCCTCCATGTCCATGTGCCACAACGGGGTTGGTAACCCGTGTGGACGAGGACGGCGTCGTTTCAGGCTTCAAAGTGGTTAGGACTTGTCAAAAGATTGAAGCTAGAGACCGGGGAATGTATGTACGGAGAGTGTATGTATATTCGTCCGATACAGGGTTATGGACTTTTAAGCGACTTTTGAACTCTCGTCCCGTGAACCACCCTCCCGTGAATATCAACGGGATGCTTTATCTGTGGGAAAGGAGAGTTGGTTCTACTAAACATGGTGTCATTGTAGCTCATGACTTTTATGGCCCTGAAGCTGATGATAATTGTCAAGTTATACCTCTCCCTGACCCTAGTGGATACCAAGATGTTAAGAGTTGCTTGACTACTTCAGGAGGAGATGTTATCTACATTGCAAGAATATATCAAATATTGAAACTTTGGAAGATGAATAAAAACTCCGAGAATGGATGGTGGCAACTGTCACGGGAAATCAACATGCCCGATGTCATGTATTTTTGTTTTTGTATTCCTATGGCAATGAATCCATTTGATAATGATATCGTCTATCTATGGAGTCAAAAACACCATTGTTTGGTAACGGGTAACTTGCGGACACAAGAGTTTACTGTTCATCAAGAATCAGAGAAATGGACAAGTAGTGAAGGTTGGTGTCGCATAAACACATGCGATTCTAAGGGGTATATTGATCACGATAAATCTCTCCTTATATTATCCCAATTTGTGTTTCAACGGTTGTTGCCCCGTCCGCAAAATTGATTATCATTCATAGGGAGTTGGTAACTTTTCAATTGCTTATTGCAAAAGCGTCTTCTTTGGTGTAATGTGGACATATTCACTAGCTCGATATATCAGTATCATATCATGTTGTATGCTATTTTTCGATGACTTATGCTCTCAACTCGGAGTAACGTAAGTTGTGCTATCTATATATAATCCTTTTCGATTTATGAAGCTTTATTTCCAGATAATTGTTTTATGCCGACTTTTGGATTTATGTTCTTTATAAACCTTGAAACTACATATTTTTTTTTGAAAGGAATATACATATTACTTCCAAGATTACTACATATTTTGTCATGGCATATACTGGTGCCAATTTATCGGAAACTCTTCCGAAAAATATCAATATAGAGTTAGTAGAAGAAGAAACAATCATATGCTAACAATCTTACCGATAAATGCAAGTTTTTTCGTTCATAATTTTTTTTATGATGTCATATTGAACCAATGATTGATTTGTATTTTATCTAATCTTTACTATGGTTAGAATATGTCGTTTTGCTTCGTTTGTACTTCTCGTGAAGTTTAGATGGTTAGATAAAAAAAAAACCACTCATCATTATCTATTTTATCACATTTTAATCACTACTATAATACTATGTAAATTGATTGATTCATGAGTCCATAAAAGTTGATGATAATAAAAGAGCCATTCACGTCCAATCATCTCCAAAAGAATTATAAGAGCGGTTGAAAAAAAAAAAAGACAGAGAGACCAAAAGAGACTCTAATGGAGACTGGAAGAAGAACAATCCCAGAGGTGGAGATACTTGCAAGATTACCGTTGAGAAGCATCGCGAGATTCAAATCAGTCTGCAAAAGATGGAAATCGGTGATAGAATCGGGCTACTTCCGACGTCTCTTTGTCTCTCTTCACGGAAACTCCTCTACCTCATGGTCACTCATGTTCAGAACAGAGTATCTTCGTCAGATGACGGAAAAACGGTCTATTTCCCCCTCAGAAGTATTGACATCACGCCAGATAGAGCCCATTCTTTGACCTCGGTCCAGATGTCCATGAAATGGAAGTTTGACACCTACTTCCCCCGAATTGAAAGTTCAAAACTTATATCTCCCCAAAATCACAGTTCAAAACTTCATTACCCACATACACTGGTTTGTTGTTTACCAAACAACTATTAACCAGATTTAAACCAAAGACACCAACAAAATCACTAAACCAAACCAAAGACAACAACAAAATCACTAAACCAAACCAAAGACAACAACAAAATCACTAAACCAAACCAAATTTTTTTTTTTGTTCACCATCGTTTTGTTCAGAGCTTGGTCGGAGCGTTACCATCGGGCGTCGGCAACTCAAAATAATTTCTTCCTCTAATTCTCTAAGTTTGGTGAAGATGAGATTCTTATATACACTTCTCTGCAGATGTTTCTCTACAATTTGTGACATCCCCCAAAACAAAATCAATTCACTTTACAAGAGTACTTGATTACACAAAGTTAAAAACAATAAACGAGATTGATGAGAAAACGAACTGAAGACCATGAGAAAGCTGGACATTGCGTACGACTGGGAAGACATGGCACCGAGGAGGAGAAGCATGGTTGCAATGGATGCTTCCGCAGCAGCTATTTGAAACGACAATGGCGGCGATTGATTTCATGGGCTGGACGAGCATAGAGATGTCCAAGAAGAGACCGGTGGTGATGTTGCTTTGACGTGAAGACAGTGGCAGCTTGACTCCGGCAACGACGAGGAGCAAATTATTTCTCCCTTGATTTGCAGTTGAGACTTCATATTGTGTTCTTCATTCTCACTGTCGATTCGACATGGGTTTTTCTCTTTGAATATTTTTCTACCTCATCTTGTTCAATCGAGGAAAAAAGCTCTCCTCCTCAAATCAATTTCGATCAATCCAATACCGATTCATGTCGCTAATCAAGTCCTCGAGCTTCACAAACCTCAAATCCTAACACCCAGACCCACGAATTAACCAACTCATCGGGGGATTTTAACATTCGAAGACATCAAAAAATTATATGAAGCATGTAATTTGATTTATGCAAATCTGGGTTTGCAATTTCTGAAATTTTGGATTTTATTACACAAAACAGTCAAATTTGAATGGAATTGGATCGGGAATAATCTAGTTTTGTTTCTCTGGGTCTTATTGATCTAATGAACAAATCACATATTTCTCTGGTTCATGTCGTCTTTATTCGACACGGGAAAAAAACGAGAAGAAGAAGACGCACGCATCAAAGAAGGTGAAGAATAAAAGTGTTTTTAGGTTAAATCCGGTTTTTGTTGTATTGGTTTAATTTGGTATTTTTAATTCGGTTTCGTATTGGGTTTATATGGACTTTTATGAGATTGAGTTTGTAAACCAATTAAACCCAGATTATGGAGAAATAGATGAAAATTTTAGATTCATGGAGAAATTGATGTTGAGCTTCTATTTCATGGACATGTAGACCGAGGTCAAAGAATGAGTTCTATCTGGCGTGATGTCAATACTTTTGAGGGGGAAATAGACCGTTTTTCCTCAGATGACACAAGCCATAGGCTTCCATGGATGCAAAACATGGGATCTTCCCAAATCACTACTTTCTTATATCATGCCATTTCAAGTATATCCGAATCTCCCTGCCGGCTCTGAATACTACTATATAGCTTCTTCCAATGGATTGATTTGGATCGATGTCTTTGTTTCTCGCATCAAGGACATGGTTTCTAGTTATAAATCTTTTGTTGGTAATCCAGTTTTACAACAATGGGTTAAGATCCCTCAACCTCCTAATCCATGGGTTCAAGATAAACACCCTTGGTATCCGAGTCCGTTAAGCGACGTTGGTATGGTAACACGCGTTGAGAACGGCGTCGTTTCAAGCTTCAAGATAGTTAGGACAATCCAAATGGAACTGATTGATCGTAGAGATGAAGGAATGTATTTATGGAGAGTTTGTGTATATTCTTCGGAGACAGGTTTATGGACTTTCAAGCAAGTTTTCTCATCTCGACCCGTCAACGCTGGTAGAATTGATTCTCCGGTGAATCTCAATGGGATTCTTTATATGTGGGATAGGTATATGTTTTCTAATGGACCTGGTGTCCTTGTAGCTCATGACTTTTATGGCCCTGAAGCTGATGATCAATGTCAGGTTATACCTCTCCCTGGCGCGGATGATGAAGATGTTCGGAGATGCTTGACTACTTCAGGAGAAGATGTTATCTTCATTGAAGTAATACATCAAACATTGAAAGTATGGAGGCTGAATAACGAAGAGAGTGAAAGGTGGCAACTGATTTGGGAAGTCATCATGCCGTCTTTCATATCTGATGTCAACTGTTTTCCCCTGGCAATGAATCCGTTTGATACTGATATCGTCTATCTGTGGGATCGTCAACACGGTTGTTTGGTATCGGGTTACTTGCAGGCACAAGAGTTTATTGTTCATCAAGAGTCAGAGGGTTGGAGTAGTAGTGAAGGTGATTGTTGTAGCGTAAACACGTCGGGTACTGAGGGGTACATGGAAGAGAGATGCGATGGAGTCCTTATGTTATCCCAGTTTGTGCTCCCATGTTGGATGGACTCGGTACCCCGACCGCCAGATTAATTATTATTCTTAGGGAATTGGTAACTTTTTAATTTGCTTGTTACAAAAGCTTGTTCTTTGGTGTTTATGTATTTTTGTTTATCCTTTGTTTATGTTGAGGCCATATTTGCTAGCTATCTATCTATCTATCAGTGTTAAGGTCAGCTCTGCTCTTCTGTAAAATTTTTGGCAGGGCTTTAAGAATTAATAATCATAACGTTGTCGTTAGTGATGGTGACATTGATTTATTGATCTCGCAGTATATAGAAACAAATCTATCATATCTCGTAAATCAAAGCTTTTCTTGGCTATTCAAGAATCCTTTTTGTTTTTATCAACCAAATCCAGAGACCTTACCTAGCAAAAATCTCAGAACACAAGACAATGCAACAAAAACTAAAGCCTAATAAGCTTTTAGACCGTCTCTTGAGAGTCAGACCACATCACTAGAGTTGCAAGAAGAGCAATGGTTGCGGTCTCAACTCGCAACCGGTGCGGTCCGAGTCCAACTGCTGTGCTGCCTGCTTCCAACATCATCTCCACCTCTTTCTTCGTGAAGTCTGCGCCAATTTCATTGTTGATGTTAGATTGTACCAGTCAACCAGACTTGTATAATTGAGACAAGTGATAAACAAGAGCATAGCTACTGTTCATTTTGTGTCCTACTCAAGCACTAACCAGTGATTTCAAAAAATATGATAGCTTCCGCAGAAGTTTACGACAGACAACCGCATCAGAATTCAGAAATGTATTGAAGAAAGGGTTTCTTACCGCCTTCTGGTCCAACGATTAATATTCCACTGGTTTCTTTTGTTGAGGAGTTTACTGCATTCAGGAGTGGTGTAGCTTCGGCTGTAGCAACCAAACATAACTTTGACTTGGAAATCTAGAAAACACCAAAATGTATTATGGGAAGTTTTAAAACCACGAATCTTATAGTGTGCTTAGAGAGATGTTGAAACATACATGACCCAAGAGGGTATCAAATTTGATTGGAGGGTTCAATACCATTTGATGTAGCCTTTGGCCTGTGACAGTACAAGATAAGGCAAATAGTTTGTGATATACAACTAAAATGCGAAGGAAAAAGAAGAGCAAGATTAATTGATCAAATCTTCTTTATTACTTACACTGCTTAGCCGCAGCAAAACTAACGCGTTCCAATCTATCAACCCGGTTTTCAGAGATTATGGAAGATCTTTCTGTTAAAAGTGGGGTGACACTACTCGCTCCAAGTTCCTAAGATAAGCATAAACACATACTCAGTGACACAATATTCACAGCAGATTTAGACAGTTACATACTAAAAGTAGATACATACTGTACATTTCTCAACCAGCCAATCCGCTCGACCACCCTTCAGAGTTCCTGACAACACATTTTTAAAGAAATCATGACTCGAGCTGAGACAGGGACTATAACATCCGGCGATATTGTAAATTTAAGGGCAGTCCCATATCATACCAAAAGCTGCAAACACCTGCCACTGGATGCCCTGAGGAAGAATCACCTTCTGATCTTCTTGTGCGATAAAATCAACTCCAGTTTTATCTATGCTTTGTATACAGCCTTCTACCAGACCTCCTTTGCCATTAAAGAGTTCTACCCTTGCATAGAAAAAGGGTGCAAGTAAATTTACTTACATTCACTAAAACTTAAGGTTTAGTGATCTTTAACCAAAGAAAATGTCATCTCAGAGTTACTTTTGATGCTATCATTACTTAACCAGCTGAATTCATCATGGTATACATACACACATAATTCAGATGGAAGAAAACTTGTAGCTAAATGGATGCAAGCAAACAAAATATGAAAAAAATCAAGATTTGAGGCAATAAAACAACAACCCAATTTTATAAATGCGACACTGCGAAATGCCAATAAATATATTTGAATGTAGTAATTACCTGTCCTCCTGTTTCAGTCTTAGAACTTTAGCCATATGCCAAAACTCAGAGCCTTGAACACGAACAACTCCACCCTATAATAATCATAATGATTTTTACACAAAGAGAAGCTTAATATTATCATTTCACGCAACATAAGTAACAAGAACATATAATATTATCATTTCACTGTGATTTTACCAGAAATTTCTTTGAGGTTACAGTGAATTAGCAGAAGAAATTTCTCAACTGCTCAGTGATTACCCTCACTCTGATTTCGATTGGATTCTACACAGATTTAAAGGGAACAACAAGTATATGAAGATAGAGAGAAAGTGTGTGCCTTGCGAGATGGAAGATCATCGGAGAAGAATCGAGGAAGGCCACCGCGAGATTGATTCCGGAGATCCGAATCCGACGGTGGAGACGAAGATACAGAAGCAAACGACTTGAAGCTAGAAGGCGGAAGCCATGAACGAACAAGACTCGGCAAATCGGAAAACAGTGGCCGTGAAGCCGCCGCTAGAGCTCTCATTACTCAAAGCTTCGAATTTTTTTGTTCCCCTCTCGACGATTTTGGTTCAGTTTTTATCGCTTTGGTTTACTCTAGATATTGGTCTGATCCGGTTCAATGCCGGTTAAATGCCTATTAACTTCCGATTAAGCTCAAATTAAATTCCGGTTAAATTCCAATCCACGCAATTCAAGGGATTTTGCTATTTCAAAAATAAAGAAAAAAACGGTCATAAATAAAGCTAGCAAAAATTCAAAATTAGAAAATACGCAGCTCACGAGGATATCTATCAACAAATCGTGGTTTTAACAACAGCCCAATTACATCATTACACGTGTATTATACGTGCCGTTACATACAGATGGATACTTCCGGTTATAAATACAGCATCAAACGCCTTCCTAAAAACCTAGAAATCGAAAAATCAGATCTAGATCTAAAGAAGAGCGTCTTCATAAACGCCCTTCTTCTTCTTCTTCGTGTTCTTCCCTGCAAATCTAGTTTCTAGATCTTTTCTTTCTTCCGCGAAACGAAAATGAGAGAGTGCATTTCGATCCACATTGGTCAGGCCGGTATCCAGGTCGGAAACGCTTGCTGGGAGCTTTATTGTCTTGAACATGGCATTCAGGTTCGTCTCTTCCTCTCTCTATCTAGATCTATGCTTTTCTCCTATATTTTTCGTTGTTTATAGATCAGATCTGAGATATTTTAGCGCTGCATTGACCTTGTTCTTCGGATTTCTGATGAATTCGTAGATCTATTGTACCTAATCGTTTAGATCTATGTTTAATTTTGATGTCTTGGATAATTTTTATATGGTTGATGTTAGATCCGTTTCTCATTTCGAAAATCTGTTTAGATCTGTGGTTGATTTCGGTTTATTGTTAAATTCCTTTGGTTGATTCGAGATCCGTTCGTTTCAATATATTCGTTGAACAATAATCCGTGTAGATTTGTTTAGAAGATGAAAATCGATCTATTTCCCATATTGTTAAGCTTCTCTTTTTTTTAATCGCTGCTTCTATATGCTTAGATCTTTGGATCCAATTCGTTTTGTATGTCTCTTTGTATTGATGTGTTGTTTTGGATCTGGAATGCTACAGCCTGATGGTCAGATGCCCAGTGACAAGACTGTAGGCGGAGGTGACGATGCTTTCAACACCTTCTTCAGTGAAACCGGTGCAGGGAAGCACGTCCCACGTGCTGTCTTTGTTGATCTGGAGCCAACTGTGATCGATGAGGTCAGGACTGGTACTTACCGTCAGCTTTTCCACCCTGAACAACTCATCAGCGGAAAAGAAGACGCAGCTAACAACTTCGCCCGTGGACATTACACCAGTAAGTTAATCTTTCCCTTGTTCCATCATCAACCACTTTTTATTGATTCTACTGTTTTATTAACTGATCTGATTTTTTGAAATTTTTCTCAGTTGGGAAAGAGATTGTTGATCTGTGTTTGGACCGTATCAGAAAGCTCGCTGATAACTGTACTGGTCTCCAAGGATTCCTCGTCTTCAACGCTGTTGGTGGAGGGACTGGATCTGGTCTTGGATCTCTCCTCCTTGAGAGACTTTCTGTTGACTATGGCAAAAAGTCCAAGTTGGGTTTCACTGTTTACCCTTCTCCTCAGGTCTCTACTTCTGTTGTTGAGCCTTACAACAGTGTCCTCTCCACTCACTCACTCTTGGAACACACTGATGTCTCCATCCTCCTTGACAATGAAGCTATCTATGACATCTGCAGACGCTCCCTAAGCATTGAGAGACCAACCTACACCAACCTCAACCGTCTTGTCTCTCAGGTATAGTAGCCAGCCTCATTGATTTACATCAGCCTTGTTGCTGTTTCATTTTCCTGGCTCATCTAATGTTTTCGTTCTCTCTTTTTTTTGGTTTCAGGTTATTTCTTCCTTGACTGCTTCTCTGAGGTTCGATGGTGCCTTGAATGTTGATGTCACTGAGTTCCAAACCAACTTGGTGCCATACCCAAGAATCCACTTTATGCTTTCCTCCTATGCCCCAGTCATCTCTGCAGAGAAGGCCTTCCATGAGCAACTCTCAGTTGCTGAGATCACAAACAGTGCTTTTGAGCCAGCTTCCATGATGGCTAAGTGTGATCCTCGTCACGGAAAGTACATGGCCTGCTGTTTGATGTACCGTGGTGATGTTGTCCCCAAGGATGTGAACGCAGCTGTTGGCACAATCAAGACCAAGCGCACTATTCAGTTTGTTGACTGGTGTCCTACTGGATTCAAGTGTGGTATCAACTACCAGCCACCAACTGTTGTTCCAGGAGGTGATCTTGCTAAAGTGCAGAGAGCTGTTTGTATGATCTCAAACTCCACCAGTGTTGCTGAGGTGTTCTCCCGTATTGATCACAAGTTTGATCTTATGTACGCCAAACGTGCTTTCGTTCACTGGTATGTGGGTGAGGGTATGGAAGAAGGTGAATTCTCAGAGGCTCGTGAGGATCTTGCAGCATTGGAGAAGGATTATGAAGAGGTTGGTGCTGAAGGTGGTGACGATGAGGATGATGAAGGAGAGGAGTACTAAGAAGAAGGTTGTGGGTTTTATGTGGGCTTTCTATTATCTCGTGTTTGTGTGAATGGGCTCGAAACTCTTACGAGTCCTAGTTGTGTTTTTCAAAAACCATATTTCTATCTCTTGCTTGTGGCGGTAGCCATTTGTTTTCTATTATCTAGTTCGTTTGTGTTTCTGGTAATATCTCTCATTTCCAAGAACTGAATTTAAGATGGGTGTTTGGCTTTAGGTTGAATACAGTTTCTATTTTGGTTTGAATTGATTGTCCAAAACCTACCGTTAAATTTTTTTCTTTTGAGTGGTGAAAGATCGAAACTTTTCGAAACCTTAATAGTAGTAAGTTGCAAGAATAGAGAAGCAACGATTCTTTTTACAACCGTAAGGAAAATAAATGAAAGGAAAGACTGTAAAATAAAAATATATACTTAAGAGCAAATATATATGCTCTATACTAGTGGTTATGTAGAGTATAAAGAACAACTTGTTGCCTGCTAATTTAAACGAGGATTCATCCCTGATATCCTCTCATCCTCCAACAGAGCATATGGATCGATGTACGGTGGTGGTGACACCGGAGTTCTACTTCCATCATGAATGAAATCTGCTCCAAAGTACTTTCGTTTTCAACAAAAAAACAAAATCAGAAAGTAAAAGTAAAATCCATAGAAGAAAGGAACCTTAAAAACTCATTCCAAAACACTTTCTACGGCAACACGATGTGTGGAAAAATACTGATAAGCATAAATGTAAAATAGGACTTGGGTTGGATTAGAGTTGAGGACATGAGGGTCTTAACTAGGTGGTTGTTTGAAGCAGGTAAGAGACCTCTTAAACAATCTCCAAAATACATTTGCCACTTTCGTAGTATTCAAAAAAGTACACTCATTGAAATTATCAAATACTTACAAGGTAAAGAGCAGAGAAGGCGCCGAGAGTTAAGACTATCAATGGCCAAAAGCCCAAGAAGAAAGTCCCTCCGATTGTCAGCAAGATCCTAGCACGCGGAATCAACCCCTGAAACAACAGTATGCAGTTCCTTTCCACAATTAACAAAACGACTCCTAAAATCAACCTTTATCATAATAACTACATAAGATGCTAAGAACTATCCGGATACAAAAGCTGGCAATGAAACATAATTTCAGCAGTTAATATGACAAGGAACTAATAAATGACTGTGAGAAACTATAATAACTAGAAGAGGTACTAGTGTTAATCTGACCTCAAGCCCTTCACTGTTTAAAGCCAAAGATCTCTCTCTCTGATTTAACAAGCTTTTATCAAACGCCGGAGAAGTTGCAGTCGTTTTAGAACTGTTTCCGGTTTCTTTATCGGTTTTGATCTCATCCTGATCCACTTCATAGTCTTGAAGCAACGAAGTAGGAGTCATACCACGTCTCTTCAATTCTTTCATAAATAAAGATTCTGGAGGTTCTTCACCTACACAACACACAACAAAACAAAATCTTTCCCAATCAAACTCCAAATTCAGGTAAAGGAACATCTATGTAATAAATACACACCATTACTAGACTACTGGTATTAAAACCCCTTTTTGGCTTAAGAAAAGATTCAAGAAACAAGATTGGAGAACTAATGACAATATTAGAGAACTAATCACACACAATCCTATCTAAAAAGGGAAAGAATCTGGGTACTCTCCACATCTTTCTCACCTACTGACTAATCAAATTTCAATTACAAGTAAAATAAACTCTAACTACTCCTTTTAGGGTGTTTAGCAACAAAAAAAAAAAAAAAAAAAAAAGTTCTGACCTTTGGACTGATTATCACCGTTGAGGGCAGAAGAATAAACCCTAACGCATGTACCAAGACGATGCCAAGTCCTAGAATCGGATAATCTTAAAACCCTTTTTCTACATTCCAATTTAATGGGCGATTTATGGCGGGGAATAGAAACAGGAGAGCCACACAATTTAACAATCTCGAGAGAAGAAGAAGCCATTTTTGTTTCTCTTTCAGATGCCGGAAAGAATCATGATCCAGGCGTCGCCGCTGAATATATAGGAGGAAGGAAGGAAGCTGTGTTTTATATAGTTTTAGGAATTTCAGACGGCAAAATTCTATTTGTTTGGATTTTTTTCTGGGGAAAAATGGTGTCAATATTCGAGCAAGTGGTGGCGAGACAACGGTGAAAGTTATCAACTTTAACCTTTTAAGCGTACTTTAGCAGGGATACGGCGTATCTTACTAAGATGCGCTAACGCTGTGATGGTATGTGTGGCTGCTAAATTGCCGCAATTGAGAGTGGTAACGTAACGCGAGACTCCACGTCTCGTTTTTTGTCCCCATTCCGAATTAATATTGGTACCAAATACATAAAAAGAGAAAAATAAAACAGAAGAACATGTTTTTTTTTTTTTGGTTGATAAAAGGCTTTATTACTAATGTTAGCTTCATAATAGTGTCGTACCAATGTACTTATCACACACATGTTGCCTCAACTCAATGTTACAAATTGTCTTGTTTTGGTAGGTTTAACGAAGATACCAACAACTTAACAACCCACAACATAATTTTGACATTTATACTTGTCTACTCTATTAAAATCACAAATTTTGTGTTCTAGTCAGAAATTTTACAATAATTTTATTTTATAACAATATTATGTGGATTTTAACAAAATTATGTTGATTTTTATGAAATCCATCTTTTACTCCGGAAACATGTTTCAGTGAAATGAACATGCATATTCCAATTGCTTTATATAGTTCATAAAACATGTACCTTCTTTGTCGCAATTCCATCAAAAAAGAGTGTATATTTCAGAAAAGAAAAAAAAGTGACATACCCATTTAATTTATCCATCCACGCTACATTATCTTTATAATACATGACTATGAAACTAATAAATTATTTACATAAAAAAGAACATAGTTTATTATCGAATTAGTCCAAATAAATGCAACTTAATTGAAAATTACAAAGCCTATTTACATTAAAAATGTACAGATGACCCATCTCACCAGAAAGGGCACCACCTGCAATAAAAGAACAGAAACAAGAAATTTATTTCACTAATTAGTTTCCAAGCCCTCACATTTTCGCATAGATGCATTTGTTAATCTTTTTTTACCAAAAGCAGAGGAATGTAGAGGAACATACCCAACATAGTTTTGACAGAGATTTTCATGGGAAGTGGCTTGATTGATTAGTTTTTGAACCTGAACTTTCACAGACAAACCATGTTCGACTTCATGAGAATCTCCTCCGAGCAAGTTATTATGATCGGCAATGGGATTGCTCGGAATCGCAGACGAAGAGAAATCACGCCCTGTAAGCTTATGACTCATACGAGCCATAACAACTACGGCACGCTCATTTAAAACTTCATTAGCATCTCCAAGCATATTCACAGCCTGAAATAATCCAAGAATCAAATTTTAAGGAAAAATCCCCCTTGAGAAAATAGAAAACATAAAAGATCTTCAAAAGAAACCTGAAGAATCTCTTTCTCTCGAGTACTCCTTTGAGGCTGAGGAAGGTCTATATCAGCGGGATCTTCATCTTCTTCCTCAGGCTCAACATCAGCAGGAGCATTGGGGTTGTTGTTACCGAGCAGTGCTAATTGAGGGACTTCATTGAAATTGAAAAGACGCCAATTGATTAAAGGATCATGCACAAACGCTTCCATCATTGCCATTACACTATCTTTATTGGTTCTGAGAACTTGCATAACGTTTTCGCAGGTTGAGCGGAAGTTTCCTTCGATACCACTGACTTCCATTGCTTTGACAAGCATTCTTGTCAGGCGGAATGGAACCTAAAATTATTTAAGCAATCCTCACATCGGTTCTTCGATACCCACAATTGTCGCAAACAAATATACGAGGAAAACATTAAAATCAATACCTTTTCAGGAAACTTCTCTCTATTCATAGAAGCCTCAAAACAATCTCCAAAATCAATATGCAAGATTTTTCCACTGCACAATTAAAACCATTGATAAAGAAATAGAACCAAAAGTTGAACATGTAATGTAAACCTTATTTCAGTTTTATGTACCTGTATCTATGGAGCATAAGGTTACTTGGGTGTCGATCACCTAACCCAAGAATATAACCAACCTGACACAAAGTAATGCATGAAGTTCATTTCATTTGCGAGTTAAACACCTGAAAATTTAAATTTGATGCTACACAAGTGGAGAACAAAGGATGAAATTAACTACATACCATACTCATAACTGCTAAACTTCTAGTATAGTTTGTTCTTCTTTCCAGCCAAACCTCTGACGAGCGACTTTTTAACCAGAGAACCTAATAAGAAGGGGAAGAATAGAAGCAACTTAGTACTCCAGATTAGGTACTTTACCCAAAATAAAGTTACCAGAATAAGAGAACTGAGTACCCTGGATAGATCATTTCCCTCTGTGTTTTCTAGAGCATACTCAAATACTTCAACCTTTGCTATAAGCGGTAGATTGTCATAGTCTGGAGCAAAACTCAACATATGCTTATTTTCTTGATTAAGAATGATCTAAAAATTCAGAAAGGCATGTGTAAGAATTAACGTAAACTGCAGATAGTTTCAGGAGTGAAAACCTTAGTGAATACAAGACAAACCTTTCGCGCATCTCTGTACTCTCGAATAAGATGGTGAAGGGTATCGCAGTTCGGAACCCATCCGATGAGTCCACTATTGGGAGATAGTGGTATTACAGAATAACGTTGGATGGAAAGATCTTTTTCTGCTGTTTTTCTGGAATTCTCAAGCAAAGTGTTCACCAAACCAAAAAGCTGAAACACAAATAAGAGGAAAGGTATAGATGTGATTTTGTAGCTGAAAACTGAGTATATTTGAAGTGTAAACTGAAAACTTCAATTACATATTCTCCAACAAGAATTCATCAGAACAATGAACAACTGATTTTTTTGAGAATCACCTGCATAACACGCTCATCTTGCCTTAGATCTTCATGACCCTTCAACAAGAAGGCGTAGTCCTCACCATCATTTCCATGAATAGTCAATTTCCTTGGTCTTTGTTTAGAGGTTATAACAACAAGTTGGCGTGAAAACGATGATATCGTCACGACAGGGGCATCTAATTAGAAGAAAAACGAAGTATGCATGTAAGCAATGAAGCGTGGGTTAATAACATAAATCAGCTCAGGCAAACTTTAGCAGTTCAATATGTTGTTACCTGCACGATATGTTCCAGGAACTGCTAGCTCCAAGTCACGGCACAGCAGCAACTCAGGAG